AGTATGTATTATAATTGTTAAAAAATATATTTGTAACAAAATTAGAACAATTTTAATAATTATTTAATAACAAAAATATCGACACGCTACTGAAACACTTAAGTCTAATTAACGTATCCTAATTATTTTGAACAAGTAGTAAAAAAGAGCTAAAATATAAAAAAATATATATAATTAGTTAATTCTAAGTGAATTTCATAATTAAATGGAAACTGCACATAACGTGTATTATGCCTATATATTGTATAATTACTTACTCTGTTTTTGACCCAGATCTACTGCATGCTGGACAACTAACTAATTTACGGTCTTTCTGAAATTCGCCATAATGTTATTGTTAATTCAGGTTCTGACACAATACCCTTCTAAATTTACCACTTCTAGACAAAACCAATTACCGAAAAAGTAATAAATACCAAACATAAAATAAGCTCATAAAAGCACAACTTATAGTTTCATTCAGAACCTCGTGTGGTTTCCATTAGCGTAGAAGTTTGTTCCTCTAATTTTTATGTAAGCATTCAGAACTTTAAAATTAGTGATAGTAATTTTCACTTAAGCTTCATTCAGAACCCCGAAATTAGTGGTTTTAATTGGGGTAGAAGTTTTTTCCTTTAATTTCAATGTAAGCATTCAGAACGTCAAAATTAGTGGTAGACATTTTCAATTAGTAGAAAAAGTTATCAAACTTTTAAACTTTTCCACTAATTATATAAAATTTGCGAGAAATGTCATTTTGGCATTTGATTATCTTCCGTCAAGAGAAATTGTGGTTAGAAAGAAATCAAAAGTTTATTCTTTAATAAGCTAAATATTAAGCTGTCTCTATGGATACAACTGACTAACGTAAGCTGTTGCTAGGACATTCTATTAATTTTAATTGTTTTTTAAACATTGTGGATTCAGAACCTCCCAATTAGTGGAATAAATTAGTGGTTTCAATTTCACTTTATACTTTTTAGTTTACGATCATTCACAATGTCTAAAGAACACAATTAAAATTAATTAAATATCCTAGCAACAGCTTGCAGTAGTCTGTTGTATCCATAGAGAAAGCATAATATTTAGCTTATAAAACAATAAATTTTTGATTTCTAACTTGTTTCTAACCAAAATTTTTCTTGACCGGTGATAATCAAAGGTCAAAATGACATTCCCCGCAAATTTTGAAGTATAATTAGTGCAAAAGTCAAAAGTTTGTTAACTTTTTCCAATAATTGAAAATTACTGCCACTAATTATGACGTTCTAAATGCTTACATTAAAATTAGGTGAACAAACTTCTACGGCTAATTAAAACTATTAATTTATTCCACTGATTTCGAGGTTCTGAAAGAAGCTTTACTTATTATATTTTTTAGATATCGTGAATGATAAAATAAACTCATAAGTGCCGTATGATAAAAAAAACGGCATCAAAGACAGCTGGAGAATGACAATCGATGCTATTTTTGACGAGGTCGAACCTTAAACGTCATTTAATAAAAATTGACATAAAACTTGTCAAAAATTAATACCTAATATTGAAAAACTAGAAAAGAATAATAAGTTTCCAGATACACAAATCTATTTCCAAAAAACTGTTCTTTCAAATGTTTCGATCGCACCAGTTCTACTCAATATAAAAATCTATATTAAATCATCATTTTTTATGCAGTAAACAAATGCCTTTAAAAATAAAGAAGAGAGAGACTCCAACCCATAAACAACTCCAACCTAACAACTATCCCGTCTGTAACTGTAAAACACTAACTTATAGATTTTTTATATTAATTACAGTTCTAAATTCTAAATATCAGAAAAAATAATTTCTTGAAGATAGATTTCTGTATTCCAAACCAAACATTCTATTTGTCTTCTAGATTTTCTACATTTAGTATTTGGCGGCCTTTAAATTGGCGTTTTTTTTTTAATTTATGTGCTAGGTAAATTATAATGAGATACGATCTGAAGAATCGCCAATCTATAGAAAATGCAAAACGACCTGATTACTATTATTTATTATTCGTTGTAGACCAATTATCTAACAATTTTCTAGCCCGTTCGCGATAATGCATTCGTTCTTCGGACTTTTTGTTTCACCTAAAGACCCACTAATCGATATACAAAAAGTAGTTGAGCGCGGTTACGATGAAAATGTAGGACACCAATGGATGGTCCGAATTCCTGAACCTACGCAAACACGCATAACTGATGTATGTAGACCGTCGTCCGTTTTTAATAAAGTTTTTCGCCACTTTGTGAAAGAGGAAAATTATAATTTCCTGCGGGGGGTTTTCACGACCAAGTTCAAGTGATCAAGTCACAGGAATTTAACTGATTTGAAAGACTTGAATTGATTCAAAATGGCAATAGAATTCACAGAAAGTTTATTAGGTAAAAAACTTGATAGAAAATGGATTAAACGCAGAACTGCTTATGGTGGATCTAATACTTTAATACATAAGCTACACTTTGAAGATTTTGATCACTTCGAAGATCCTGAGAAAATTTTAGGAATGGATGCACTTTCATTTTTATTGGAAAAAGTTGTACTCTGAATTAAAAAAAACAAGACACATTAATTCGTAACGTTATTTCTACTCGGCTTAAGCTAGAAATTACTTCCCTAACTTTGTATTCCGGATTCTGTAAATTCTAACTCATATTTTTTATAAATATTAATAATATTGTGCCGAAATCAGCCCCGTTCTAATTGCCCCGTCCCCATATGACCTTCTGGAATCGCATCAAAGAAGAGACACCGCAATGATTCAGCCGATCGAATAAATAGGAGGAACACGAATGGCGGCGAATGAACAAGAACAATCGAAAGCGTCCCTCTCTATACACCTAATGGTCTAAGAAAATCTAGACTGTCTGTTTCTCTCAAGTTTCTCTCGTATAAGAACCGACGCCTGGGGCGTGAGGAGGATAGAAACAGTGTAGGTAGTCGTGCTCGCGCCTTTTAAAATAAATTCAAATAAAGCCCTTTTAGATAAATAGTTGTAAATAAGTTTGTAAATAGTTCTTTAAGTGTTTTATCGTTATTGTTTTGTAGGTTAGGTTAGGTTAGGTTGCTAGGGTTTGGGATCATGTTTGATTCCTCACTCGGAGGCGTTGGGCCTATTGCGATACCCCTGTATTATTGTACCAAACCTTCCTCTCATTCTTACTTTGCGTTAAAGCACTTCCAGCTCTTTGCAATGTTGCTGATTCCCGATGTTGCTGAATGTCGAATTGCTTTGCTGCTTGTCGAAAGCAATTGCTGATTCCCGAATTCCCGATGTTGCTGATGTTGGCTTCTGCTACTTCCTCTAGTCCCTCCAAAAAACCTTGCCCTATAGTTTTAAAGCGTCGGTATTCCAGTGCCGGACAGTGGCACAGCAGGTGCTCTATGGTTTCTTCTTCCTCTCCGCATTCTCTGCAGTAATCGTCGTCGGAAACTTTCCATCTCACTAGGTTTACCCCTGGGGGACAGTTTCCAGTGACGACACCTACAATTATGCGTACTAGGTCCTTTTTGTGCTCTAGTAGTTGTTTTGTCTTTTTGCTATCTACCACTGGCCATAGTCTTCGAGCTGTATCGCAGTCCTCACGGTGTTGCCACGTCTCTTGCTGCTTGGCTTTGATGGCAGTTCCTATAGCTTCCTTCAGTGTGTTGATCGTCACAAGTGGTGGGTCATCTGCCACGGCCGCTCCCCTGCCCTGTCTTTGGCGAGTCTGTCTGCTTCCTGGTTGCCCACCACATTGCTGTGGCCTAGCACCCATTATTGTTTTGTAACTTAGTGTAAAATAAATTGTGTTAAATAAATTAAGACTTTTTATCCACACGGAACCGACGAAAACCGTAACAGTATTCACAAAATTTTCTTCTGGTCATTGTCTGTTTTAAATCAGGATGTTTTTGTAGAATGTTTAGGAGGGGGTTAAAGGTACAAGCGAAGGAAGTTTTATATCCTCGTGTATAGGAAGGTCAGTATGCGTCATAATTTTCTTGTACTCTCGAATTAGACTCTCTTGCCTTCTTAGTTCTGGTGGTGCTTTATTGCTCAGTGTTGGCAACCAGAAGGAGGGAGTAGTTTTTATACAGCCCGTGTCTCATCACGCATGGTTGAAGTCAGCTGTACATCTAGCTTGTGGGTGTGGTGGCTATTCAGCCAGACTGGTGCGCAGTATTCAGTAGTACTGAATACAAGACCCAGTGCTGCGCATCGGAGGGTGAAGGCAGTAGATCCCCATGTCGATCCGCATAATTTTTGTATGATATTATTCCTGGATCTGACCTTCCCTGACGTCTTCTCTAGGTGTGGCCGATATGTAAGAGTTCTGGCAAGAGTTCTGTCAAGTGTAACACCTAGGTATTTTGGTGTGGGATTGTGCTTAACAGGGTTTCCATTGAAGTATATGCTAAGTCGGCGAGAAGCTTGCTTGTTGTTTAAATGAAAACATATGCATTCAGTTTTATTTGGGTTCGGAGACAGCCTCCACTTTTTATAGTATTTCCATAATACTTCCAAGTCGTCTGTCAAGACGGCTTCCGTTTCTTCTACAGTCGGGCAGCTTACGGCAAGGGTAAGGTCGTCGGCGTACGCAAATTTTCTACTGGTCGTCGTTGGAATGTCGAAAATGGAAAGGTTGAAGAGAGCCGGTGCGAGCACAGATCCCTGAGGCAATCCATTTTTTAATGATCTTTTGTTGCTGTATCTCTGGTCCATTACTACACGAAAGAACCTATCGCATAACATATTATTTAGGAGAGAACTAAGTGTTCTGCAGGGGATAAGTTTTAGGAATTTATACAGTAGTCCTTCTCTCCATACCGTATCATAGGCAGCTAAAAAAAATTTGATTTAAAATGACATGACAAGATGTCATTGTCAGATTATATTCTATCGTAGACTGTAAAATTACAGATTAAATTATGTTTCCGGAGATGTTTGTACTAAACAAGCATAGAAAAAGTATGTGTATCGTGTGGCTAAGTAAGTTTAAATTGAATTTGTTTATTTTTTTTTTCAGGAAACCATGAAAATCACAAAAACGAAAATAAGACTGACGATTCTTTAATAGTGCCAAAAAGAACAAAAGTTTCTAGTATCTCACTCAACATTCCGGCCGCTGGACTAGGTAGTAGGCCTGCCTCTATTGTTACAACCTCCGATGAAGGTATGGTAGTAGTTCTATTTGATTTATTTTTTATTTTTTTAATATATGTTTTGTAAAATCGTAATCTACACAACGTTTTGCCTGTCGGTTTTTTTTGCCTGTCAGGAAAAACGGAAGTCCATCTAGAAAATGTACGGCAGTCCTCAGTTGGGGGAAACGTTTTCCAAACTTAAAATCTCGAGTATTTTACAACTCTAGCCACCATTATACAGTGTGTTTCAAAAAGCATGTGCCATCTCTCTTGGGGAGATTCCTCACTTAAAAATAAGATTTATTTTACATATCAATATCTGTACCTTATGGTGCGTCCAGACCTGATGAGTCGAGTGCGACACGAGCGCGAGACGAGGAGCGAGGCAAGAGCAAGACGAGTGCGAGACGAGAGCAAGACATTTTCTATCCATTTTTTGACGCAAGCCTGCCGCGAGACAAGCGAGTTGGATCCTATGGTTGGATCATAGTGAAAGGTGACCGGTTTGTGTAAATATGTCCGATGAAAAACCTGCAGCAAATAATAACGCATAAGTAATAAATTTTTGTATCTTTAACATGATATTTGATTTGTCGTATTTTATTCATTGTCGATTTTTTCCCCTTTTACCCTTCATTTGTTTCGAGATACGACGTCTTTTCCAAAATTCGTTTTTTAGAACAAAATGTTAAATAGAAATGTTATAGGAAAGGTTAAAAAGCACATTTGAAAATTACTGTAGAGTATACAGGGTACTTCAAAAAGTGTTACGGATATAGGTTTATAGATATGTTTTAATGGGAATACCCTATTTTTTATTTTATTGTTAGATTCTACGTACAATTTGGTAAATTTTTTTGCATATCGTATTACCTATATATCTAAAATAATAGATTTTGTAATAGTTCAATTTGTTTAAAGAAATGTTAGATTTCGGTACGGTAAAAAGTGTCAGTGATGCATAATTTGTAAATTCTATTAAAAAAAAATGATAATACATACGGTGTTCCATTTAAAAAATTTGAGATTATTTAATTTCAAATAGTCGAAATTCATAAATATATGTTGAACACACTGTAGCATGTAACTCAAATGTCTTTACCTATATCTTTTTCTTCGTCCTTATAAAACTATCCTTAACAAATTTTAGAACTCCAATTTCAAAAACAATAGCATGACTAACAATTTTTTACGACACTGAAATCTAACATTTTTTGTTTAATCAAATTGAAATATTACAAAAACTATTAGTTTCAAGCGGCGCGCAAACCAGAGCGGTGGCGGATGCGGTGGCTTTGCGGACAGTAACGGTACATGTAACTAAATTGAAGAGGGTACACTACCACGATCTGGCGAACGCGCCCGCCTTTTCTTGCAGCGAACTACCGCGCGGAACATTGCGGACGGTGCGGGCGGTACAGTAGATTAGAACGCTGCAAGCACCATTTACCCGCCAGTTCGCACGATAGTTAACAAGTAGAATCACCCTAGTTAGCATGTGTAATATAGAAAAAAATATTGAAAAAGTGCGTGTGCAACCAATTTTATATGATTTATCTAATAAAGCCAAGAGTAATAGTATATTGTTCTATTAGGAGTAAAAATGATACATTTCGTGGCGAGGTTATACGTTTGACGCGTAAAAATGCTTTACTTTTATGCCCAGGTGTTAAAATGGCGTTGTTATATTGTCAATCACGTAAAAATTAATACTTCTATGACGCTGGAAAAAAAAGATGTTTGTTCAATGTTCATTATTATTAAAAATGAAAATTTGTAATAATCTTCCCTAAACGGTGCTGACACTGCCCGCCAATTAGCTCTGTTATGTACGACGCACGGTGGCGTGCGGATGTTCGCGATCGCATTGTGACCGCACAGCCACCGCACCCGCCGCCGCTCCGGTTTGCGCGCCGCTTTAGGGGTATACCGTTTTAGGTACATATATAACATTATACCTGACATAATACATAAAAAAAGTTATAAAATTTTACGCAGAATCTAAAAATAATATAAAAAATAGGGTATTACATTTAAAAAACCATGTTATATCCGTAACACTATTTTGAACCACCCTGTATACTCTATAATAATTTTAAAATGTGTATTTTAACTTTCTCTCTAGTTTTTCTATTTTTTAATAATTCTTAAACACTTTTTAATAATTCTCTTTTATATTCTTCCCAAGGTTTTATTCATCGATTGTGAAATATCTACCCACGCATCGTGTTTATTGTTTTTTTTTAATATTCTCTATCTTTTGGATTCTTTATATTGGTTTTGCTTTATATAAATCGATGAATTTCAGCTGATCTGTTTCTGTCCAGGTCTCCATTTCAATATGCACTAATATCAGAGCTAATATCTCGCAGTCGAGCGAGCCTACCAAAAACACGTCCAGACTTGGCCGCGAGCTTTCTTTGATCGGCCGTCGAAAAACCGACAGGGGACGGATAGCAACGAGGCTCCGTGGGTTGTCTCGCGAGACGGTCGCGAGGCTCTTGCGAGACCCCTCCGCCCTTTGAAAAACACCGCAAATTTGGAATGTCTCGCGCTCGTCTCGCACTCGACTCCTCAGGTCTGGACGCACCATTAGAAGCAAACTATGTTAAATCCAAAATTGCCATATTTATGTTATATATCTCAAGTTACTTAACTTTTTGCTACTCTATCCTTTGCTCTTTCTCGTTTTACGCTATCTGTAGGAATAAATAAAATACTCTGTTTAAAATCAAATTAAGTCCAATGTCCGGCCCTGAGCTAAACAAAACTTTAAATTCGTTTTTCTCGAAACTATGTTTTGTGACTTAACATAGTCGTAGGTCCAGTTCTGTTATATTTTGTATCTACAAGGGGGTATAGTCTTCTTTTTCGATATATTATAATTTCCTTTCAAATGCCTGTAGTGATTCGAATGAGATTGTGAGGGTGAAAATTACTTTAAGAACTACATAACTTAAAAGAAAAGCTACATAAGGACGTGCATAGGTGCTATCACTGGAATAATTTTCTAAATAAACATGCGGGCCACTGACTTTTTTCTCTGGCTAGTAAAATCCAAACCAAACCAAAGCAAACTGTATTTTCTCGCCCATTTTTACAGGAACTTTTTTCATATTCTTTGATGAGGAATCAATGAGTACTTTGTTAACATTTTGGCCAGTTAATAACATTACAAAATTTTCAGGTTGCTATTAGACTTGAATTAAGGCAAATTATAAAATTGCGACCAAATCCCACCAAGGAGATCGAAATCCACAAAATATCAAGAGACAACTTTTAATCGCCATTAAAATGTCTTCATAACTGTTGTAATCGAAGAAAAAAGTCCGCGGACTACATTTTTTTAGAAAAAGATTCCACTGATAACCCTTATGCACGTCCCTGGTAACTTCCCTATTAGAATATGTAACACTTATAGTAACCTTTACCCTCAAAGTGTTAATGGAATCGCTAAATGTACAGGGTGTCCCACTAAGAATAGCTCTCGGCTGTATCTCGGAATGTATTTGCCGTAGGGCCTGCGAAAAGAAAATTATTACTAAAGAGGCTATGAGAAATTGCTGGAAATTATTTTCAAGTTTGTAGAACAGCCGCTAGAGGGCGTACCTGCTATAAAAAATAAGAAAATGGAGTTTTTACACAATTTTGCCAATTTTGCCTTTGGTACTATAAATAATAGCTTCATAATCTTCAGTAAATTTTGGATATTTTTTGTTCATTTTCATATATCTGCCAAAATAAAGTGGTGGGGGGAGGTTAGATCTGTTTTTATTTAAATATTAATAACTTCGGACTGAATAACCGAAATCCAACAAACGGGGGCTCGCTTAAAAGAGCGTTTCTTACTCTATATTATAGGTATAAACAATAATAATAAAGTTTGGAATGTAGACGCTAGGGGGCGCTGTCTTAGAATTTAACAAACATTGCGCGTTTTTTCAAAAAAAAATACGATAGTATATGTAATTTTATCTGATGGTAAAGAGTAATAAAAGCTTAAAAAGTCAGCGAAAACCGCACCTTGATATCTTTTTTCTGGGACTATCAAAATGTTGATATAATAATATTTTGATGTTTAAACTATCCCTTTGAAAGTAACTTTTTTCCAAAGCCTACCATGAATTCACTGAGGCGTCGTTTCTTGTTCACTGTCATTGATATCTTAATTATTAGATATTAATACACCTAGTATCGTATATTGGTACATCGTCAATTTTTTGAATAAAATAATCTTTTTTATTTTATTTTTTATAAGAATGGTCATAATCAAGAGGGCTAGTGATCCCGTATTAGATAAATAATGTAATTAAGGGCATATTTTTTCGTATTTATTATAATTTTGCTGATCACTTTGGTTTGAAAAGAGATTTCGCTGAATTTTTAAGCGTTTATTACTCTTTAGTATCAGCTAAAATTACATATACCTTCGCATTCCCTATGACTAATACTTTCCGAGATACAGCCGAGAGCGATTCTTAGTGGGACACCCTGTACAGGGTGGGTCAAATTCGACGCTTTTAAATGGAAACACCCTTTTCTATAGGAGATAGACGAAAACTAATATCGGTATCTGGAGCTCAATTTTCATCAAAAACATGATGGTGAAAACCGCACATCAATATCTGTTACCGTTTCGGAGTTACGGGGTGTTTTTCAAAAATGTGCATTTTTAACAAATCGCTGTAACTTTTTTGCTATGGAAAATTTTGTACTTCTATGAAAACATTTCCAAAGCACCTTTTTACGTAGAATTTAATGGTTTAAGTATAATTTTTTTTAAATTAATAATTTAAGAGTTATCAACAGAAAAATTGATTTTTTATTTGGGACTAAAATTATTGGACTAAAATTGGAATTAAAAATATAGATGGTCTATATTTTTAATTAACTGAAAAGAATTTAAAATTACCTTTCCAAAAATATAGCACACTTGATATTTTGTTATAATCCCCTTTGAAATACAGAATTTTTAAAAGTTCGCCACTTTTAACTAGTAGGCTTTGGACCCCTTATTGATGATTTGCCTTTAATGGAACTCGAAAACATATTTTTCCAGCAAGACGACGCACCGCCTCTGAACGCTGAAGTTATCTGCAAATGTTTGCAGCCAATTTCAAGAATAATTGAATAGCTAACCAAGATCCCAGCCGTTAGCTTTCGAGGCTGCCTGACTTAGTGCCCATGGATCTAATCCTATGTATATATTTGCGGAAGAATAAAGGTTAATAATTCTTCCCTATAATCTTAGCAAGAATTAAAAATACTTAGCAGTTAAGAGAGGGTATCTTTCACCCCTACTGAGTTAATGAATTCCGCGAGAAATGTTGAAAAACTACCCCGTCTGTCCATAACAGAAGACGGTCGATATGTCGAACACCTGTAGCAAAATCTCATTGGTTTGCTATTTATATTTATTGTTATTAGATATAGTTTAACTGTGTTGATGTTGGTTAAATATATTTTAAATTGTTATAAAATTCTGCACCTCTCATAGCAAATATTATTTTCGTTTTAATTGATGCTCACAGCTAGATTTTTTTGCATTACAGCCGGTGCCGTTCAAAGCCTACTTGTTTAAAGCGTGCGAATTTTTATATACTCTATAATATCTCGAGGAGGAATCGAGCCAAATATCAAGTGTGTTATATTTTGGGAAAGGTAATTTTAAATTATTTTCAATAAATTAAAAATATACAGGGTGTCCCATATAAAAAATCAAATTTTCTGTCGATAATTCTTAAATTATTAATTTCAAAAAAATTATACTTAAACTATTAAATTCTACGTAAAAAGGTGCTTTGGAAATGTTTTCATAAAAATACAAACTTTTCCATAGCAAAAAAGTTGCAGTGATTTGTTAAAAATGCATATTTTTGAACTCCGAAACGGTCACATATAGATATGCGGTTTTCACCATCATGTTTTTGACAAAAATTGAGCTCGGACACCGATATTAGTTTTTGTCTATCTCCTATAGAAAAGGGTGTTTCCATTTAAAAGCGTCGAATTTGACCCACCCTGTACATAAGGATATTATACTAAATCGAAGTAAAAAAAGACTTTAACCTCTTATAGCTACGAAACAAAGTGAAATCGGACCTATACGATAGGCACTATTTTTTTGGAACACTCTGTAGTTACGTCATTTTTTTATTTTACATTCTGAATTGATCGTGGATATAACATTTTGTTTCTTTTCGTTTCATTCTACATTACAACCACAAAATGACGATAACTGTTTAACATTTTTAATATGTTTTGTTTATCTTTTAAGGTGGATTTAATGAACCTTCGCCAAAGATTGAAGCTAGACTAAAACCCCACGAGGAATCTCTGTACGATTTTCCTTTGAACGAGGATATCCCTGTGAAATATAGCGATAACTCTCCCGAAGATGTTAGCGAATACTGCGAGGGAGACGTGGTCAAAGACAACCCCATTAAGCTCACTCAAGCCGAGATAGAAGCTCTTTACGCCGTTCCCAACAAGAACAAACCCGGCTCTAGTGTACCAGCTCCAGAAGAGAAGCAATATTCGGTAAATTTTACATTAAAGTGTTAATAATAATAGTGCCACACCCCTGCGTACCTATATTTAGGGTGATTATCTCATTAAAATTAATACATTAATAATTATAACAAGAAGTTAGATTTGCACTTTGCTCTCTTAATACTTGTCTAGAAATAAAGATGGCTTTAAAATACATAAAATAATTTGTGCAATATTTATTTATATAATTATTTTTACCAAGAGACATTTTTAGCCGACCATACCAATATATATAATAGGCTATTAGGATCGGCAAAAAAGAAGTTTTTTTAATTTCACTCAAAATGAGTTACTTGGGTCATGAATGACCTAAATACAAAATATATTCATGGTGTCTGTCTGTCTGTCCGTCTGTCCGTCTGTAACAGGATAACTCACACACAATAGATCTATAAGGTCGCGATGATTAACTCCCCTCCTAAACATTCTACAACACGATAACTCAAAAACCGCTGAACCGATTTTAACTAAATTTGGCCCAAAAATACTGTGGCACCCGAGAATCTGGCCATTAGTTTTTGGTGGGTGTGGGGGGTTGGTAAGGGGGTATGGGAGGGGGTTAAACATTTTAAAAAATCGTGACTCCAAAATTACAGTAGCTAGCGAAACGCGGTTTTCAAATTAAGATTAGGAATAATATTTGCAACAAAATTTGTAATAACATCAAAATCAGTCAAAGTCGCAGTTTTCGAGATATTAACATATTTTAGTATGGGCGGCTATACGTGCCTCCCGGCGCCAATTTTTTACGTTAAATAAGGCGTAAATGTATATTTTTTCACTCAGTAGTATAATACAGGGACGGACGAAAAGTTATTATTCTTGAAAACAGTAAAGAAACATATAGGTGGTGCCCTCTACAAGTAGGAGTCATATTGACATCGAAATCAAATTTCTCATGTTAAAACCCCAGATACCAATTTTCATCCAAATATCGACATTAGTTCAAAAATTATTGTATTAATAAAAATGAAATTTCTACACCCTGTATCTCCGGAACGAAGTATTTTATGACATAAGTTTATACGAACTTTTCTACTTTATATTTTTATGTGCAGAATGTGCTGCTGAAGTTTCTACCAAGCTTCATAATTATACATACAGGGATTTTATAAAAAAAAATATGGTTTTACAGGGTATTTCTTAAATATTTTCAAAAAATCTTTTTTTTTCATTATAACTACATATAAGCACAGTACGTAGATCGCCGAGTAGCGACAGAAACCGTCGGCTCTTTTGATGTGGTGGGACCAAATTTTCTTTCTCTCTCTTTTGACGTGTTTGACAGATACACTACGTATTTAACTGCTCAACTTATGAAGTGGTCCTATAAACATGGTATACACTGATCACAATTTGAAGTGGAATTAATTATAAAGTTTTATACATATCTTTTTTGTTTTGTTTTATCCTTATTTCTAAATTTGAATGTATAAAATATCTTACTGGTAATAAATAATTAAAAAAACGATTCGTTGCCTGAGCTATACTTAAAATAAAGTATATAGAGATATTTGATAAATGGCAACAGTGGCAACTTCGCTTCTTCGTATGACAGATAACCTACTTATTTCGCGCAGCCGCAAAGAAAATTGAAAACGGGACTGTCGCTATTCGTCGGTTTAGGTACTCTGATATAAGTAAGAAAATAAAAGCAACGGGAATATTTTTTATTAATTTTTTTCTTTGTTGTCCTGTAAATAATCGCTACCAACTCAAAAATGTAATTTTTTTAAGGAACCAAATTTGTTGCAATTGCAATACTTGAAAAGAAAAATGTCAAAATGTCAAAGAAAGTCTTTAAAGTTACTTGAACGCATTAGGTCCAACTTATTATTTTCTATAGGCCATATTGCAACCTCGGTAATCTGAAAAAGAACATTTTTAATTTTTTTTTTCAATTCTTTGGGGAACAGTAAAATCAAATTAATGCGTTAGAAATCATTTTCCTAAAGGAATCAAGTCCCTATTTATGTATGAAACTCTCTACAGGGTGGGTCAAATTCGACGCTTTTAAATGGAAACACCCTTTTCTATAGGAGATAGAGAAAAACTAATATCGGTGTCTGGAGCTCAATTTTTATCAAAAAGATGATGGTGAAAACTGCATATCAATATCTGTTACCGTTTCGGAGTTACGGGGTGTTTTTCAAAAATTTGCATTTTTAACAAATCGCTGTAACTTTTTTGCTATGGAAAATTTTGTATTTTTCTTTAAGTATAATTTTTTTAAAATTAATAATTTAAGAGTTATCAACAGAAAAATAGTTTTTATATTTGGGACAGCCTCTATATTTTTAATTAACTAAAAAGAATTTAAAATTACCTTTCCAAAAATATAGCACAGTTGATATTTTGTTATAATCCCCTTAGAAATACAGAAATTTTAAAAGTTCGCCACTTTTAACTAGTAGGCTTTGGATCCCTTATTGATGATATGCCCTTAATGGAACTCGAAAACATATTTTTCCAGCAAGACGACGTACCGCCTCTGAACGCTAAAGTTATCAGCAAATTTTTGCAGCCAGTTTCAAGAATAATTGAATAGCTAACCAAGATACCAGCCGTTGGCCGTCCAGGCCGCCTGATTTAGTGCCCATGGATCTAATCCTATGGATATATTTGCGGAAGAATAAAGGTTCCTTATTCTTTCGTATAATCTAGACAAGAATTAGAAATACTTAGCAGCTATGAGAGGGTATCTTTCACCCCTACTGAGTTAATGAATTCCGCGAGAAACTGCCCTGTCTGTCCATAACAGAAGACGGTCGATATGTCGAACACCTGTAGCAAAATCTCCTGTCTTGGTTTGCTATTTATTTTTATAGTTATTAGATATAGTTTAAATGTATTGATGTTGGTTAAATATATTTTAAATTGTTATAAAATTTTGCATCTATCATAGCAAATATTATTTTCGTTTTAACTGATGCTCACAGCTAGAATTTTTTTGCATTACAGCTGGTGCCGTTCAAAGCCTACTTAATTAAAGCGGGCGAATTTTTATATACTCGATATCTCGAAGGGGAACCGAGCAAAATATCAAGTGTGTTATATTTTTGGAAAGGTAATTTAAAATTCTTTTCAGTAAATTAAAAATATACAGGGTGTCCCATATAAAAAATCAAATTTTCTGTTAATAATTCTTAAATTATTAATTTTTAAAAAATTATACTTAAACCATTAAATTCTACCTAAAAAGGTGCTTTGGAAATGTTTTCGTAAAAATACAAAATTTTCCATAGCAAAAAAGTTACAGCGATTTGTTAAAAATGCATATTTTTGAAAAACACCAAACAGATATCGATATGCGGTTTTCACCATCACGTTTTTAACAAAAATTGAGCTCCAGACACCGATATTAGTTTTTGTCTATCTCCTATAGAAAAGGGTGTTTCCATTTACAAGCGTCGAATTTGACCCACCCTGTACATAGACGTAAAAAGAAATTCTAAATAAATTTTCTCTTTGGCTTTTTCGATATTTTGTCGCTAAATCCCCCACTCTTTTTATTAGTAAAGATGATTTTTTTGTAATTTCCCGCCCTGACAGTTTTTTTTGTTCATGGGTATGCTGAAGAAATTCCACATAAACACAAAATCATTTGCTGCCAATCTTTTTGCACACACCCTATAATATCTATAGGTTTATAATGGGTATTTTTACTAGAAAACAGCTTTGTTATTGTCCTACTAAAAGAAAGAATATTTAACTGATATATTTGGTTTTAATTAATAATTTAGGTGCCCGAAAAGAGAAACCTAGATTTCGACAAGACGGTATCTCCTACGGACTCCGATGCAGACTACGCGGTTCCTTACCGATCACCCACGGTGATTCACCAGAAATCGGTCACCTCGACTGATTCCGACGCCTCCCAGGTAACGGTTATACCGGCCCAGCATTCGATCGACTCGGATATTATGTACAACAGTCAAGCGCCGATACTCAATTCGGTATTATCGGAATTGGAGAGCCAGGAGAGCTTCGATAACAGCTGTCAGAAGTTTTTGAAGAACGAACGCGAGTGCGAATCACGCTCGGTCAGGCCGGAACCTTTCATAATCAGTCGGGAGGTGTTGCAGAATGATAAACATGTGAAGACGCCGGAGAATCAAAGGTCGGAGGCGAATATTTTGGACGCGAACGACGTGGAGTACGCTGACGCTAGTGACATTGAGCTCGAACAGCCTACTAAAACTGAAAAAGTCATTGACGTGATGACGCCGGATGAGGCGGAGAATTTACTTAGCGCAAAGTGAGTATTCAAACCTTGATCAAAAATTTGTTGCTTCTCGATCCTGAAATTTTTCATCTTTGTCTTTTCATAATAATGGGACTGATTGGTGTAATATTATAGGCTTGGTGCATTCTCCGCCCGTGCTGCCACCATCGGAGAATATCGTAAACAGCCAACCAAATAAATACACTGGTTTTAAATAGCGAATACCCGAAAAATGTGTTAATATATATATATAATAATATTTGGAAAGTATTTTAAAAAATTAAAAAAAAATAAAAAAGTAAATTTTTTGATATCCTCAGAAGGTCTAACGTGTATTATTTTGATATCCTCAGAAGGTCTAACGTGTATTATAAATATTTTGTCAAGCTAATAAAACTTTTTGGATTAGTAATAACACGCCTGCTACGATAGCGATCATAGTTTGTATGCACCGGTTTTACTAGTCGGGACATAACAACTAGGACTATTTGGACTGTAACGAAATTTACATAATTATAATTTTAAAACACGTCTATAAGAAATTTAAGCCAATAGTTGATTAAAAAGAAGTATACTATTAATAGTGATCAAATTATATTTTATCCTCATAATAAAACAGGGTGTCCCAGAAATAAGTGCAAGTATTTTAACTGGTAGTATAGTTCAACCCCAGAAACACGCCTATGAGGTTTTTTCGCGAAAAAAAAATTAAAAATTCGAAATTTTTTGGATTTTTTTTTATTTTTTAGTTAAAAAACATAATTTCTTGATAATATGGCAACGTAGGTATTAGATTAAATTTACAAGAAAGAAAATCCAGAAAAGATCCAGTGGTTCTCAAAATTTTATCAAAAAATCATCTTTTTTGGAAATTTTCAAAGTAAAATAACTCCGTTATTTTGGACTTATTAAAATATGTTTCTTTTATTGAGATCTACAACCCCTTAAAATACTTGCACTGATTTCTGGGACACCCTGTATTTGCATATTTAATTTTTTGATTATGTACCTAATGGGCGCTTTGTTTACTCACTTGTTATGTCGAACTGCCTGAATCCATTTTTGCTTTTGAACAAATCGGTGTGAAAAAGCTGAGAAGTTGTGAAATGTTGTTCCAGGAGAGTTGTATTTACTGTCCTCCGTTCACGCAGTTGTGCAGCTCTGAACTGTTCAAGAACGCGGTACTCTCACTCCATTCAATTGAGTCATAAAGTTCAGAACTGTTCCGCGCCATATGGAGACACCAGGCTATCGCGCACAGCTCCTTTCAGAACCGTTCTGAGTAGCCCAGGGCGTAAAGCTCTGGAACTTGAAATTGGCGAATAGAGGACAGGAATTGAGTGTTATTGCACCCGACAACCACGATATTATACACTATGGGTTCACGACATTTTTTCGGTAACTTTATTACCATTTGAAATTGTCACAACATAGCGCCTCGCCCAATTTAGGTTCTTTTACACTTAATTTTTACTACCCGAAACAGCGTTATATCACCCAAACTTGTTACGTGAGGATTTTATAGTTTCAATAACTGCACTAGTAAAAACTAAACTTTGAATATATGGCAAAGCCATGATTTCAATATTGCTTCACTGCTATCAACGTTAAGGGTAACCGGGACTACAGAGCCTACAAGTTCTGATTTCTGCCGTGCCGAGCGCTGCTGTCGAAATTTTAAAAATCAACTGAAATGCACCAAGCCTATACAAATTCCATCTCATGATACATATACAACTGGTATGCTACATACAGACTAGAATTGTGTTGATTCATACCATTACGTTATCTGTCAGGCAAGCTTTAGGTGCAAGCATGAGGTACTTTTTGACTCATCCTATCTCCCCACTTAGAGGTTAGTAACCCTTACTTATTTGTAATTAAAAGAACTTTGTGTGGTACAATATTTTTCTCGTTTTTAGTCTGGTGTTATTCTCAAGCTGCACTAGTAACTACTTTTTAGGCTTTTTCTAAGATTCAGAGAATCTCAAGTCTTGACACAATATCTTTCCAGATTTATACACTTTGCATAATGCCAATTAAAAAATGAACAATAAATAATACAAAATATACACCGAAAAACGCAACAAACTCAAATATGTCAAAGTGTGTCCACCCAAGACCTTCCACCTTTAATTTTTGAATATAAAAAAAATTTGACTCGGTTTTTATGTTCAGCAGTATAATCAAATTAATTTACCATAGAATTATATAATTGCTATTGTATCCCGTGGTAAAATTGGTATGTGGCCTGGGCTGGAACTCTGAACTAAATAACGATCGGTAGCGATGAAGAATACTGACCTTGGCCGTACAAACTAAACGGCAAGCGACAGTATTCTTCATCGTTACCGATCGCTATTTCGTTATAGAGTTCAACCCCTGGCTGCCTCATTTGCATTACATTCATAACCACTATGTAATCGACATGAAACATTTTCTAGTCACAACATTTGTTAGAGTGTACCAGTTATATGTATTTTGTAATACAACCAATATTACGTCAAATGAAATCAATTCAGAAAGTTGTTCCAATAAATGTTATTTAGCATTACTGATTTATTTGTACTCTATTTAATTATTCTTAAAAAAATATTACTAAGCATCACATATTATGAAGTTAATTAAAGATATGGCATAATAAAAGGTAAAATATTTCGCAAAATATTTTGCGGCGAGTTGTATCGCTGTATTTTAAATTTTATAAAAATATCATACTGATAATAAGTTTAGACTAATTTTAGTTGTATTGATACGTTAAGTTAAAGATAATGTAATTAATTATTATTTTGTTCCATAACGCCCTGTTTTCATAAAGAATTCTGGAGAAAAGAATTAGGTGAGTTAAACCAAGTAAACTGAGGTTATGGTGACTGTTGTTTTTAACAACACAATTTCGGGTTTTTTTACACTACTTACATGTAACACTTTTATTGCTTGATGTTTCAGTACATGTGTCAGCCGGGTTTACTATTGTAACATTCTTCCTTTACTGTGTTTTAAAAGAAAGGTAACAGGGAAATAATGTGATGTATGTAAATGTATTTTTTTTTGTAAAATGTGTCTTGGGCAATGGTCATATTAAATATATCTTTTAAAGTCATACCTTCCATAACACACAACGTCAGTGCTAGAATTTTTATTTCTGCACAAGGACTTTGACTTAACCTAACTTTTAATTTTTAGACCTGATCTTTTATCAGATGAAGAAGCACAAGAGGTTACAAGACTGTTAAACACAAAAGATCCTAAAGTTCAAAAATGGTTACCTAACACAAATTCTCTTTTACAAGACTCTATAACTGCTTCAGTTCACGATTCTTCTGGTCCTGTATCGTTAAATGATAGTTTAGGTATGTTTGAAGGTGGTAGCCAATGGTGTTTGCGAATTATGAAATAAAATATCTTCTTGGACTGACATATTGAAATTTCTAACGTTTCTACTTTATTATATCATTATCAAGTAAAAACCAAACATTACTAAAGTTACTGAAATAATCGGGTTTACTGGACAACATTAAATGAAATAGCGCATGATGAAATCACTCTAGCGTCAACTGATTTAGGCGGCCGATGACGGGCTTTCGCATGTTCTTCATGTCAATCTTGGGATGGCTAAGGACCATCTACATGTAACTTCGAGTACCTACCTAGATATTCTCTATTTTATGTTATGTAACATGTCGGAATCTGAGCTCCATTTAAGCTGCAAAAATTATTGAGACCGGTGCCACACTGGTGCTCTGTGGTTTAATGATGTTAATTTAGTTTTTGCTTGATCTTGATAACTACTAGCGATATACAGGATGATTCACGGCCATGGCACGTTCGACATTTTTGGAAAACCGGTGATAGCATTTTTTTGAAAATTTGGATTATCATTTGCTTCATCTATCTAAGTTGTTTTTAGCGTTACAGCGTTGTCGCTTCGTATTAAAAGTGGTAGAATCTTTGTTATTTTAAATGGAATACCCGGTATATTATTATATTTTTCCAAACTACTTCCATATCTCAAAATATCGTTATATATATTTGTTATTTTAAATGGAATACCCGGTCCCGGTATCTCTTATTATATTTGGCCCATACTTCAATATGGATGCGAAACATGGACGCTAAAACATTAAACGTCTTAATGCGTTTGAAATGTGGATGTATCCTCGGATGCTGACGATAAGTTGGACCTCCAGAACATCAAACTGTGAAGTTTTAAACAGAAAGAAAACTCGTGCACACCTAACAGGCACAATTAAAATCATAAAGACTTCCTACCTTCCTACCTATACCTTCCTAATGCGGCACTCAGAATATGGAGAAATACAGCTCATAATAGAAGGAAAACAATTCAATAGAATACGTAGCATGGGGAGGAAAAAGAAATCATGGCTACGTAACATAAGAGATTGGACTCACACCGACGGAAATACCCTCATTCACCAAGCTTTGGACAGAGAGTCATATGCCATATTAATGGCCAACCTCAACAGAGAAGGCACCAGAAGGAGGAGGAGGATAAGTATCAATTAGAGTTTACATGCTAAATTTCTAAAATTATCATGGTAGCGAAATTCTTTAAATGAAACTATGATAATAGAATTATTAATTTTTAAATATAAATAGCTCTAATAGAAGATTTAGGTATACGAACATGATATATCGTTGAAAAGCTGGTGGTGAAAAAAAAATTATTAGCCTTTTGATTTTTTGATTCATATACAAAAGGTTGAATTTAAAATAACAAAGATTTGAGTAATTTTATAACAAACAGAAATAAATAATATTTTTCTCTCCCTGTGTAATATCCAATTGGTTTATTTAGACAGATCGAATATAGACTTTCGTTAACTTATAACCCAAATTTCAACTTTATAAATTTTTATTTCGTAATGTTTATGCCAATTTTACACATTTTATTTTTTATCTCAAAAATTATTAGAGGTATAGGTTAGTATAATAGAAAAATTATGAGATATGAAAGTAGTTTCCAAAAATATAATAATATACGGGGTGTTCCGTTTAAAATGAGCAAGACGCTACCACTTTTCAAATGATGCGGCGACACTGTAATGCTGAAAATATTTTAGAAAGATGGAGCAGGTGCCTTTATGAAAATATCCAAATTTTCAGAAAAAAGTCTATAACCGATTCTCCATAAACGTCCAACGTGCCATCGCCGTGAATCACCCTATATACGATATATACTACACAAGTCAAAGGGCTGTGTAACACTTCAACATTAAACATAATTTCAGTTCAAGATTATAGTGGATTTTATAGTTTAGAATATCCACTTCTAGTTTCTCAAAAATGAAATATGTCGCTGACAACTTTGAAATTTTAGGTCCACCGTCTCTACAAGAAGAATCAGCTCCAGAATCTAGTTCAGCTCCCGATTCAAATGAACTGCATATTCAAAGATTTCTCGACAGCCAGGATAATAAAAAGGAAATCGAACCTCTCTCACAGTATTACGAATCGACTTCTAGTTTAGACCTTTCGACGCAGGACGAAGAAGAGTTTTTAAGTCACAAATTTGACGCCAGCGTTTCTGCATCTGACTCTGGTTTAATTGGTACGAAAACAGACTAAAGGTTGATTTGCATGCATCCGTTATCCGACGATACGATGTTAATTATATTGGTTGAATTTAGTCTTCGATTGGTTAGAAAATTACGCAGTTTTTAAATTTATTGCATTTTCATGCCTCCTTTCATTGGTGTCATTTTATATTTTCATTTCCATAACGATATCGCTGTTTTACTTACAGTCTAAGAGCTAGAAACATTTTCGAAAGAGAATTTTAAGAAACCGGTTCTTTAATATATCTTTTGCTATGCTCTCCTGAACAGAGTGCGGACCGTCTGACTGCCGGTAGACGTTGCGTTCACTACTGCGCATCATATCTGTATTCAACATCTGTTCATTATTGCGCCTCAGAAATTCACCCTGTATTACAGGAACTAAGGAGGTTAGGACAAACCTATGTGTAGCATAGTTTGATAAAAAAAAGTAGCAAAGTAATGTGAAAATCGCATCATTGTATCTCTACTCATAAACGAGAAATCCCATAAAACACACGAAAATAGGATACCCTGTACAGATGTGATGCGCAGTAGTTAACCGCAATAGTCTACCGGCAGCCAGACTGTCCCGCACTTTGGTCAGGAGAGCATAGCAAAATATATATTAAAGAACCGGCTTTCTTAAAATTCTCGCTTTCCCGACGGTGCTAGCTCTTGTACTATTATATTTTTTTATTAAAGTTAGATTAAACTTGTCCAAAAAGTGTCAAAAGTCAAAACGTTATGGTACGATCTTGTCGGGCTTTGACGGGCTGGAGTAAAAAAATTACGGATGAAAAAAGTTGCGCGAAATCGCTATGACCAATCAGAGCGCCGCACACTGGTCGCAATCGCTACTTTACGATGCAAAAAATGTTCGATATTAGTAAGACGAAAATTTTAACCTAGTTTATACTGAATATACCATAAAATGACAAGATAAATCTAAAAATACAAATAAAAGTGTTAGCCTTCATGTTTCAACCCCTTAGGAGGGGTGAATGTTACCCTGAGAATATTAAATGAAAAGAGGTGCAAGATGCACATCATTTTGAAGGTCTCATCGAGTACTTTACAATTCTAAAATCGTACTTCCTATTATCGTCAAAAAAATGGTGACATACTGTAAAAAAAATGACATGACAGGCTACTAGGAACATAATCTGGAAGGCTAAAGTACTCGATCAGATTTTTAAAATGATGTGCTTCTTGTCCCCATTCCCAATTAAGATTTTAACGATAACATATACCCCCACGCTTCCAGGGAAGTGAGACACAAGGGTTAAGAATTAATAAGTTTTTCTCTTGCACATATAATTATTGAAAAAACCTAGAGATAACAGAAAGAGAATACTAGATTAACAAAATTTGGTTTGTTCATCTGGATCAAAAACTATGTTGTCATTTAACCAATCTGAATTATTTGTTTCGAATCGACTTAGAATTCTATAAGACTCTTTTCCACTTTTATTGCAGTTTCCTAGTGAAACTATTTGCTGTGCGCTTCACTACAAGATACTTTTGGTTTGGTTGTTGTCTCTTTGTCTTCGGGTATACCAAGTCGGCGAATAGCATATGAAAGGACCGCCGAATTTTTTTATTTAAGACCACTTTTCCGTCGCCAAACTTCATAAAGCTCCCTTCTTGTCAACGACATATCTATTAGATAAATGTGTGTTACTCCGAACCGTGCACCTAGTAGCAGTTAATTATATAAGAAAATGTCTTACCAAAAAGCCTTCTAAATCTTGAAAAAATTGTATCGAACACGACCGGACAAGGTATGGTTTACCTTTGCGAAACCTGAAGAAAAGAAATATAATTTTTGTTTTAATCACCAGTTTAGTTTTGTTGAAAAAATAATAGACAAAAAATTATTTGCTCACCAAAATTTGGTCCTAACTATTACAAATTCCCAGCAAAACAACATAAATCACAAACACGTTGATTCACGTTTGCAGACATTACTAGATTGCAGTCAATATTAATGATTAAATATTATTTCAATTTTTAAGTATGAATGACTTCATACAATTACTACCTGTTATCTAATTAATAAAATACAACAAAGACAGCTATTTCGCAAAAAAATATGTCACCTGCGCCATCTTTAGACCTTCCTTTTTCGCATTTCATAGGTCACAGCCAACTACGCATCTTTAGGGTTTCCTAATATTTGCACTGTAAAGTAGCGATTTCGACCAGTGTGCGCCGTCGGACAATCCCATCGTATCAACGGATAATGGACGCATGAAAATCAAGCTTAACTACTAGAACTAGTGATGCTTATATATTTAAAATAGTATTTATACATCTGCAACTAGAATGTTCTCTGTGTAATAGGAGGACCGATACCGTAATTTTTAAATCACGCTGTTAACTGATACCGTGATTTTTTAATATCAGTGATATAAAACAGCGACGTGATCACGACTTTCATACTGTTCCATGGTTATAGTTAATGCAGGATATCATATCAACTGATCTACAAGTTTGTTGTAATCACGACTATCAGTCTGCTATTTCGGTTCAATATTATTTTTAAAGCAAACTATTAATTGTTTCCTAAATGCGCTTACTCGCTACTTTATTTTTATTGTCGGCTTTTGACAGATTTATTGAAGTTAAATTGTGATTGTATATGGTGCTTACTTTTTATATGCATCCTTAAGTTTGACGTAGAGGTCTTATATGAAATGTTAATTTACACATATTACAAGTCGCAATATTTTCATTTAACGGCTCAAAAACTTCCACAATTTACTTAATATTCTCTTTTTGTTCATTTTAAAAATAGGTAAACACTCTTTGGAGAATTCAAAACAATAAAACTAATAAATAAGTAAATAATTTTACAACCTATATCTAAACAAAATATCTGTTTATCTAAACAAAATATCTGTTTTTCGTTACGGTTTGATTTCAGATGTTTGTTGTAATAAGTTGCAGTCAGTTGCAATAAGCAGTAAAGTAGTCAGTGATCACTGATACTACAAAGGCCTCAGTCTTCAGTCTTCGACATTTGCTATACAGCGATATCGTAAAAATCTAAAACGTTACCAAAAGTCGTGATTGCGTGACAGTTTTATACAACTTTTGGTAACAGTTATTTACATGATTTTTTCAGTGATTAAATCACAATATCTGATTTTTCTCTAGCGTGTAACATTGGATTTATTTTAGATTCGGTGACGAGTATATCAGAAACTAACAATATCGAAACTGTAAGTGACGAAACCACGGATTACGTGCCTAAACCTGTACAGATCATAGGCGTAGAACATGGAGTTCATTATTACGAAGACGGTCACTTCTGGATGGAAGTCCCTGGTCTCCCTCCAGAAGAAGAAGATGACGATCTCGATTATCCAGTTTACGTTCCTAAGCCCACCAAAGTTAATTTTTCCGTGGAACCAATCAGGGTTTTTTCCACTTTTAGTATATCAGACTATGACAGGTATGTGTGGCTATTATATCAGTTTGATTTTAAGGTTATATATTTTATAATTAAAGGAGAAACGAAGATGTTGATCCTGTGGCAGCTTCTGCGGAATATGAATTGGAGAAAAGAGTGGAGAAAATGGAAGTTTTTCCTGTTGAACTTATCAAAGGTCCTGAAGGCCTTGGTTTGAGTATTATCGGAATGGGAGTAGGAGCAGATGCCGGTCTAGAAAAATTAGGTAGATTACCAATTACTATTACTAAAACCAATCAATTTAAAGGAAACGAGGGAAGGTTTTCTGTAAATTTAATTTATTATAATTTAATTATTGTGTGTATTAAAAATAAATACAGGTTGGGTTACATGCTCATAATTAATTTTGATAACAATGATAATAAAACGCATTACAGTTCCATTACAGTTCCATTACAGTTGAGGGTTGGAACTTATGGTGTGACAACAGCAAAAATAAAACACTAATTCGTCACAATCCACCAAAAGACTTCACCTTTGCATCTGCTGATGATGCTAATATGGTTAGCGAAACGTGCATCCAGTGCAAAAGTAAAGTGTTTTGGTGTATTGTAATGAATTAGTGCTTTATTTTTGCTGGTTTTATTCTAAAAAATGTTTCTTTGAAGGTATCCAGAAAATACAATAAATTACACTTGAAATTAGTAGTATGAAATTCTACCTATTTTTATAACATTACAAAGCAAAATGTACCTTTATCTGGCCTTAATCACAGAATATCTAGCTACGCAACAGAAGCCTCGTTACATGTATAAAATTGTAGGTAGCAAAAGGAGACAGGCTTTAAAAGCCTGTCTCCAAATCAGATATTTTGATGTGGTAGTTTCGCTACTACATAATAGAGGGCAATTAATTTAAAAGAAAACAGTTTTCTACAAACAAAATTTAAAAGAATTTTGTGCAGTGTTGCCATTGTGTCATTCATATCGTAATACTTCCTGATAAAGCCTACCTTCAAATTTGCTACATCATTTAAACATATTAAAATAGATCAGTGCTGTTTTTTTTCAGTTTGCCATGTTAGTTGGAATTAAATCTTATGAGCTAAATTATAATCACTTCCTGACGTTTGATTGTATAATTGAATCCTGAATTTTCATTGTAATTCGGCGACAATATAATAAGTATTGTTCTACTATTATGATACCACTTCCTGACGTTCGATTGTGTTCATACCAAGTTCATATCGTATAATCGGGAAAAAACGGCGTTAGCGATAGCTATGAAATGAATATCGCTGTCATTTTATATGTAAATTTATATGGGAAATGTCATCGATCGTCCTTTTCCAGCCAACTGGACGTCGTTTTTTTCAGAAGCATATCAAGTGATACCATAATATAGTACTATTTTTCGATTGGGCTTAAACTTGGTATACTATATCTTCAGTGACATTGTAATATCATGGTACCATGGAGCATATAAAGTGGTACCTTCTATAGTACCATATTTGATGACAGCAATATTAGGTACATGGCGGCAATAGGGCTTAAACTTGTATTCTACGTATTTTCGGTGACATTGTAATATGATGGTACTATGATGCATATCATCTGGTACCATAATATAGTACCATATTATGTACATGGTGTTCGATTGGGCTTAAATTTGGGATACTACGTATCTTCGGTGATATTGTAATATTATGGTACCATGGAGCATAATAAGAGGTACCATAATATAGTACCATATTACGATACCATTTCCTGGCGTTCGATTGGGCTTAAACTTGTTATACTACGTATCTTCGGTTACATTGTAATATGATGGTACAATGATGCATATAAAGTGGTACCTTAATATAGTACCATATTTCAATACCATTTCCTGGCGTTCGATTGAGCTCATATTTGATATATACTTGCGTATTTTTGATGACATTGCATTATTATGGTACCATGAAGCATATCAACTGGTACCATAATATAGTACTATATTACGTACATGGCGTTCGATTGGGCTTAAACTTGGGATACTACGTATTTTCGGTAACATTGTAATATGATGGTACTATGATGCATATAAAGTGGTATCTTAATATAGTACCATATTACGATACCATTTCCTGGCGTTCGATTGGGCTCAAACTTGGTATACTACGTATCTTCGGTTACATTGAAATATGATTGAACTATGATGTATATAAAGTGGTACCTTAATGTAGTACCATATTACGATACCATTTCATGGCGTTCGATTGTTCTTAAATTTGGTATACTACGAATCTTCGGTGACATTGCAATATTATGGTACATTAAAGCATATCGAGTGGTACCATAATATAGTACACTATTATGATATTATTTCCTGGAGTTCGATTGGGTCCAAATTTGGTATACTTGCGTTTCTTTATAAAGATTTGTTTAATTAATAATTTTAATTTATTCTACGAATTTTAATTTATTGTTCGATGTAGTTACAGCAACTTTTATGCCGAACTAATATATTATTAATTGTATCTGTCATTTTTTAAAATCTACCTAGGTCTATATAAATAATGTGGCAAACGGAAGAAATTTGTTATTATAGTATTTTTTAGTTAGTTAACATTTTTTGTACTGCATTTTAATAAATTATTTCCATTATTATTAAACTTATATTTCATTACTAACGTTCCAGCATTAATAAATATTACTATCAATCGCCCTGTATATTATTAATTTTAAAGGTAATTAAAGGTATTTTCTTAGTTAACATTATAAGGTAGTGTATATAAAAAATGTATATGTTTTGTAATAATATACTTAAAACTATTTTAATAGCCAAAGGAATAATTAATATAAGTGTATCTGACAAGAAAAGAAGAATAGAAAGAAACACATACTGCATTATACACAATAAAAAGAATGGGATGCCAATTCAAGTCTTTTTAAATCTGGCAACTGTGCATATTTAGCCGAGCTATAAGGCCGTCGACGAGCCGTCGATCCAAAACCGAAAGTTCAAAATTTCTAATTATATTCTGATTATGATATTGTCGCGCCATCTAGTATTCTATTTGTGCAATTTTAGCTCTTTCATTTCGAGTATTTTTCTGTTGCGTAGCTAGATATTCTGTGCCTTAATGTACCAAAATGTACCTTTATCCTATTGTACCATGTCAGGTTGTTACTTTCACATAGTATTTTGATATACCGTGCTGGCAACTGTTACTTTTGGGTCTGTATTATATCTTATTAAGTTGGTGTGAGAGAAACGTAAGTAAAGTCAAATCACGATCGCAAACCGCTTATTTTTAAGACTTTTTTTTTCGAAAAGATAACTAGAGAAAATCATTAGATATGTTTCTGAGCATCTGAAATGAAATTATAAGGATATCGTTAGGGTGTCCATTTTTTTTATAACGAGAAAACGTCAGTAATTGCGATAATTTAAAAACTCAACTTTTTAACACATAACACGCCATAACTGAACCGCTTTAGATACTGAAACTTTTTTTTTATTTTGGAGATCGGATCTTTTACACTTTGTTTAAATAAGATAAGGTAAGATTCGATAAGGTTTTTTTTCCATTAAAAATTTTAAATAACCCATCGATTTACTTTTAGTGCATAACAATTTTCAGCAATTGTGTAACTTTTTTTAATTTATAAAGATTTTCACAAACTACTTTCCATTTTTAACCTGCTTGTTATGAACTCTGGGATGAAAATAAGCTTCGATTATGTAAACATTCCTTTTCCATGTTGAACGAACGCTATAGTTGAAAAATAGTAATTTTTTACATTTACAAATATGTCGATTTCACAAAAAACAAAGTCATAACTTATTTTTTTCAAGAAGATTAAGAAAAGTTAACAACATTAATAATGACATTATTTACTAAAATTCATCAATTGATAATTTATTTTAGTATCAGTACCAATCACTAATCCTAAAATCACAGTATTGCAATCAACTATTTCAATCAATGTTGATCGCTCCGTATTAGTTAACAAAGATACTTTATAGGTATTTTCGTTAAAACGATAACCGCCAACGGTGCAGCAGCAAAGGACGGCCGCATCCAAGTAAACGATCAGATTATAGAGGTGGACGGGAAGAGTTTGGTCGGCGTGACGCAAGCCTACGCGGCCAGCGTGCTGAGGAACACGTCTGGATTGGTCAAATTTAGCATCGGCAGAGAGCGGGATCCGGAAAACAGCGAAGTGGCCCAACTTATTCGGCAATCGTTACAAGCCGATAAGGAACGGGAAGAAAGGAGACAGAGGATGTTGGAGGCAGAACAGCAGCAAAGCGACGCCAGCACTGTTCAACTAACAGGTAAGGTCTAATGTGGTGTGGTCAGTTTTTACCTTAGATCATATAAACTTCGTCGTAATGAATGTAAGGAACAATTGATCGCGGTTTTCAGGAATTTACTCACAAAGATTCAACAACAACACGATATTATACAAAATAATGACTAACATTAGGATAATTGTCAAATAATAAAGGACAACATTGCTGAAAACGCGCAATGTGACCAACATAGCGATAATAAAGGTTTAAACTAATTTTTGCAGCTTTAATCTAAATAAAATATCTGTTACAATCATTTGCTCTATAAAGTAAAATGAAGAGCTGCTCGGTATCTTAAATTATACAACAAATTTAAACATTTTTGCCAAAATTTCATTTAGTCAGGTTTATAGACTTTAGTGTCAATGTCGATATTATTTGATGACGTGCATTGGAAAATGTTTTGCGATTACAATAATTATAATTCATTATAATAATGATAAATGGAAAATGTAACTCTTATTAATTTCTTCTAGGATCGACAAATACTAGTGTTAGTGATGGTCCAGTTAGTCCGACAGTGAATCACGAAAGCCTCTTTGACAATGAACAGGATAACTCAGAATCTTTAAGAAATCTCTTGCAAGAGGTAAGATACTATATTTTGTTTTTATCATCTTTATGTTTTGAGATTGTATGTTGTTTTTTTTGTTTACTGCATTAGCATCATGATAACATATGTGGATTATTTGCATGCATTGATCATTAAACGTTTAGTTTTTTTAATGTATTTCGTTCATACTAATTAAATTTGTTTTGATTTTTACTTGTTTGTTTTGTTATTAACATTTGTTGTGTGTTGGTGCAGACACAGCGCAAGTTAAAGTTGTCTGAGCATGAGGTTACTCGCCTGAAGTCGAAGGTAGGTAAAAATTGTATCTGTCTTTTTTACAATAGTTTATAGTGGGCAAAGTATTCCAAATTCGGAAAACGAAATGGTACTGTTAAAACGAATGTATTATACATATATTTCTTTTAATTTATTTTTTGGTTGTACCGTAAAATGGGGTGAATAGAAACAGTTTCGTAGGCTATTAGCGATATACCAGTTGATAAAAATGTGGTATTATGTTCCCGAATATTTTAAAACATGGGTCTTTGTTTGTTCTTTGCGTATACATATAATTTGATTTTTGAAAAACATGCATATAAATTTTAAATAAAAATAACTTTTGTGTTTCTATTCACCTGCTATTCGGGAGAATAGAAACACACATTGATGTAAAGGTTTTTATCTATTCTATTTCCAACAAGGTGATTAGAAACTGATAATTATTACATATCTAAGTAGGTTTAGCAATAATTAACAATACATATAATATAACAACTTACATGTACCAGCTTAAGTATTACTTTAAAAATAAATATTTTATTTATAAAGTTTTCGCGCCATACAAAATAGGTGATAAATCGATCTCACATTTATTGATTAGCTGATTGACAGAAACAGTGCTGCCACAGATAAAAATATAGTTTTTACATTTTATTGTGTATTACCAATAATAGAAAAATTAGATATGTCGACTCTTTTTACTTTGAATATTTTTAATCGTGATTTGATTTTTTTCAGAAATTTTGTTTCTATTCACCCCTATGTTTCTATTCACCCCATTTTACGGTATCTTAATGCGGTGTTACATTATGCGTTTTCGCGGGTCACCAATATATTTGATAAATTGTTATTATTAATTGATACATCTTTATTAACAATTTTACTTTTTATTTCTATTTGCATTCTATATTAAATTGTAAAAATTGTAAATAAATATGTATCACTTAATATGTGTAATTTTTTAAATTCAAATTGATTGTTTAGTGTTTAAAGAAAGGCGCTTTGTTTTCTATATCCGACAAACCCTGTATATCCATCTCATTTGTTCTTGTATGTGTCCAGAGGCACGCCTTTATGCCTCCTCTTTTTGTCTGACATATTGTGGTAATATCGCACTGAAAAAACGATGGATTTTATCGAAATCTTAATACTCTTAACAGGATGAAAAGAAATGACATGGTCTAAACCTTCAAAACCAAACAAAAAGATAAGATATATGTACAAACGTTTCCGTTTGGTGACACCTGGGAAAACACATAACACCGCACTTAATGTAAACTTTTTCTTTAAATAAAGAACTAGTAAAACTTTTATCTCTTCTGTTTATATTTGAAACATTTTTTTATTATGATTTATTGAAATACTTTAACGAAAAAAACAAAAATTCAAAAGTCAAAAATAAAAATATAAACCAACATATATGTATATAAATAAAAGAACCCCATAATTTACACACAAAATTCGGTGTTTTATTATATTTAAACTTTATTATTAAAAAATATAAAATTTATAAAATTATATAATAAAAAAATTATGACAAAGTTCAATTCACGCAATCATATCTTTAAAATTTCAAAGAAAACAAGTGAAGGAAGTTCAGAACTTCTTAACTATGAAAGTACAAAAAATACAATTAAAGTCATTAAATCTCAGTAGTTTAAACGGGCGGGCTCCTAAAAATTATGACTAAATTATGAGTATTTAAGGGGTGAAGCAACAGAGGGCGCCACTAAAGATACCACTAATATTGTAGCGCCCTAAATCTGCGGTACCGTAATTTTACTGATAGTAAATCCTCTTTGATTTTTTTACTTTTATTAATGCGTTAAAATATTGATTTATCTTATATAATGTTATATTATGTACCGTATGATCGGTATGTTCGAAAAAAAAAACGGCGTCAGCGATGACTACGAAATGAAAATCGCTGCCATTTTATATGTAATTTATATTGAAAATGTCATCGATCGTCATTTCCCAGCCAACTGGACTCCTTTTTTTCGGTCATACAATATAATATGTACTATGTGACTAGGACATTAATGTTATTTTAATATTTCTCCCCTCTAGCACTGCTAAAATTTGTTTGCTCTGGTTGCAATGTGTGGTACTTTCCATAAGTGATGTCAGAGCCCTCATTACTTTGAGCTTGAAATGTTAGATTTGGATTATTTCTTTTTATAAAATTGAGATAAAATTGAAAAAAAATGTATTATAAAATTGTATAAAATTGAGTATTGATAATAATAGAAAATATAGTAAATCACCGGTGTTTCTAAGAAAACTTGACGTCATTTTTTCGATTATATTGAAAATGAATAAAATTCAACAATTAGATTGCAATAGAAATCAGAAAAACTTTTGTTATATAATTTTTATGTTTTTCTTGTATTAATAAGGAATTTATACGTTTCTGTATATTTTTAGATAATGGAACAAAACGGCATTAAACCTGACGACTCCGAAAAATTCGAACAAGTCAACAGCAGACTAAGAGAAGCGGAGCGCGAATTGGCCGGCACCAAAAAAGAAGTGCAAACCTACCAAAACATGTTGGAACAGTCTCAAACGCAATACCAGTCGCTAGAGAAAAAGTACAGCAAAGCGAAACAACTAGTCAGGGAGTTCCAACAAAGGGAGCTGGATATGCTGCACAGAGAAGATTTTTATCAGCAGCTGTTACAAGAAAAAGATACCGAATACAATGCGTTGGTTAAGAATTTGAAGGACCGAATCATAGCTTTGGAGCAAGATTTGTTGGATACCCAAAGAAAAGCTGGGTTTCCCATGGTTTTGCCCTACGACAGTATCAGTTTGAAGCAGCTGACGCCTCAGATGGCCAGGCGTCAACCGCCAAAGCCGCTGTTCCAGTCGATAAATCCGGACTTTTCGGACACTGAGGTATCCGACCAGAGTCCCGACGAAGATAAGACGGCCACCGTGGAGAGAAAGTTGCCTGCCAAAGAAGAACTAGACCGTGCGGTATGTAACAGGTTTGGCAATCTTTGATTTTTACAGCTATCTTTCTAACAAGAGGGGCGCGGGTTTAGTTTTTTTCAAACGAATAATAACTGTACTGTTGTAAGTTAACAAAAAGTCACCGAATTAACATCATGATGGTTTTCTAGAAAAAAAGTCATATTTCTCTCTGGCATTTTTTTATTATGGAAAAAGTATTTTAAAAATAAATCACTATACAGGATGATTATAAATATTTTGATGCATGAAAGACGTGTATTAAATATACCATCAGAGATATTTGAACAAAAAATTGGAAAATTTTACCACCCTGTATCTGAAAAGTTGTTAAGATGTTTAGGACATATATTTACATGATTTTTTTTAGAATAAGCCCAAGAATCACTTCCTTAAATTTTAGCAAGTCATTAAGGAACACCCTGTATATAGCATTTCATTAAAAAAAATATATACAAATTAGATTGAAAATATGTTTCAATCACCTTGTATGTATGTTGGCAAAAATATTTTTTAAATGATCGCACCTATTGCCTCAAATACCTTGGTGCATAAATAACTATAAATTGTCTTAATATAGTTTCTAAATCACAAATTTTACAAATAATTTTTACTGAACTTTTTGGTCTTGAAAACCATCAAATTATTTTGTAATCTGCATGGATTTGAATATTCGTGTTTATATTTTTTTCTAGAATAACATGTCCATTATAATACAATGCACATTTGCACAGTAACACTCGATTTTTGACAAAGCGAATATGTGTGGGTAAGTCATTTTTAGAAAACCCGTTTTTGGTTAATGGCATTTCGTTAGCATTGATTCAGATTTAAAGTCGTTTTAAATGTGGTGGTTAGATAATTGCGTCACAATCCAATAGTTTATTATTTATTATTAAGTATATGTGTTTATCAAGTATTTCTCCCTCTTGTTTGAAGGCCAGTTTTAGATGTGTTACCACAACTATATTGTTTATTTAACTTTTCTTTAAATTATTTCATGCGAATGCTGGAATTTTTCTCAACAGGAAGGAATGTACAATTTCCTTTATTTTTTCTTAACATGTACTTATGTTTTTTGAACGTCGCTAATTGTGATAGATTGACCAAAAGTGATAAAATGTTGTCACAGAGTGTAACCCAATAACTTTAGATTTTTTCAACAAAAAAATTAGAGTCGAACTTTTGACACAGATAGTTTGGAAGAAGCGACACTTTAGAAGTTCTTAGAACTACGGTTAGTGCCGTTGGTGGTGTGGAAATGAGTTTAAAATATCTTCCGCTGCACTACAACTAGTCTAAGAGCTAGCGACGTTTTCGATAAAGTATTCTAAGAAAGCTGGCTCTTTCATATATCTTTACTATGCTCTCCGAAATAGCATGCTGGCCGTCTGGCTGCCGATACACGTTGCATTCACTACTGCGCATCGGAAGAAGATCCTATATTTTTTATATTTAGTCCCTTAAATTCTATTATTGAATATAAATCGAGCAAGTCTCCATAGCATGGCGCGCAGAGGTTCCAGCTATGAAGCGAGTCCGAGTTCGAGACCGGCTAGGGGTATAGAACTTTTTTTATTTTATTTTCGTTTATATTCTGATAGTAAAGTATTATTAAATATTTTTTTCTTTTTTTGAACCACCAGAATTATTTAATATTTTACTGTCTATATAAACGAAAATAAAATAAAAAAATGTAAACTCCGAACCGGTCTGGAACTCGGACTCCTCGCTTCATAGGCGGAACCTTTTCGCGCCGCGTTATGGGGACTCGCTCGGCTTATATTCTATTCTAGAATTTAAAGGACTAATAAAAAATATAGGATATTGTTTCATTGCGCAGTAGTGAACGCAAGGTTTACCGGCAGCCAGACTGCTGTTCTAGAGAGCATAGTAAAAGATATATCATAAAGAGCCAGATTTCTTAAAATAGTTGTTTTCCCGACGTCGCTAGCTTTCGTACTAAACGTTCAGCGCATTCCCAGTCGTGAACTATACACCGTACACAAATATTTCTTATACAAAAATTGTTGAGAATTAAGTCCTCTACAAATTTTCATTTAAACGTGCCACTTATTTTTATTAGAAATGGTCGAAAAATTGCAAAAATTATGGTCATATAATTGTTGACACTTTTTGTTAATTAATTGTAATTCAAACATTTTTTTACAAAATGTTTTCTACAAAAGTTGTAGAGAATTCTTTTCTCTACAAATCTGTTATTTGTCGAAAAATGCAAGGAGCAAAAAACATAATATTCAAGATGGCGGGCACTTTTCATATCAAATATATGGGGATGACTGTCATCTAGTTGTCAAATAGACACAACTGCGTGAAAACTTTCGACCCTGTATTTTTTTATTCATTCGTCAAACTTCAACTAAAGTGTATGTAAAAAAAAACCTAAGTACATGAGCATGAAAATAGAGAAGGTTATGATTAAAACATTTTTCTTTATGATCTCTTTGATTCCCTTGCATGATCTTTTTCTTCTTTCTATTACTCCTCTTGCATTGGTGGCAGTATCCTTTGCTACATCTTTCTGTGAACCTTTTTCTTTTTCTTCCTATTTAAACCGGAACGTGGTAATATCCAAAGCCGTTCCACTTGGACCGTTCTACTAGAGATGACGGTCGTTCCCCATTCCAGGTACCGCCGCACGAACTGTTAGACATTACGGCGACGAAAAGCAAAGCCGAACTGGCCACTCGCGGTTCTCTGGCCAATAGGCAACTCCCCAGTGCCAAAAAGGGTTCCCTAAGCAACAGCAGCTCCGATTACGGGCTAGACGAGAGTTACAATTCCGCCGACGAGCTGACGGATTCCGCCGCGTACTCGCCTAAACCGTCTAAAACCATTAACAACCATCATTCCTCAAGTTCCACTGTGGTGGGCCACAACGCCACCTCCAGGCCCACGTCGTTAAGCACTAACTCTCATTATATCATTCAGCCGGTATGTGGAGTTTTAACTATTAACAGAAAGAGATTACAGTAACAACACTTGACAGATATTTTTATGTATTTTGTAGTATGTATAGTGAGGCCGAATGATTTACAAATACAAACCTCCAAAGCATATCAGAAGAAACATCTATTTTTGAATTTAAATGATAAGGCAACTGTCCCTGTTAAAAAGTCTCTAGCTGAACCGATATATATAAGCGAAATAATCCAGTTTGTCCTACTAACCACGCTGATAATGACAGTTGTGTCTGTCATTTTAATTTACAAATTGTATTTTCCGTCATCTGTCGAAATCTTCCTTGGCTACTTGGACAGACTTTATCGAGTGGGCAATCAAAATGCAATATTAAGCATTTTCAAATTACAGAATTTGTAATAATATTTTTTTTAACAAAGTTAGTTCACAAATAGAAACCCTCCATTGCGGTTCCAAAAGAGTATATTGTTGAAGCATTTTTTTTTCAAGATAATCAATATCAATTTTCATTCGTTCTTTTTAATTTGATTAGAAACATGGAAAATACATTTTGACATTTAGTATTGTGCAAATAACTTTCCAAGATGTAGAAATTAGAATTTTATTCTCATCTTGATAAATGGGGAAGTTGATCATTATAAATACAATATGATCGAAAAAAAAACGCGTCAGCGATGGCTATGGAATGAAGGTTGCTGTTATTCTAAAACTATATGAGGAATATCATTGATCGTCATTTCCAAACCAACGCCGTTTTTTTTCGATCATACGGTACTATGTAGATATTAAGTAGTTATAAATACTACTTATTACGTTACATTATTATACTTAGTTATAATTTAATGCAGTGGTTGCATAAAAACAATGCTGTGCAAATTATGAACCAAAAAAAAACAATAAAAAAACAACCAAAATAATTTTTGTCGTTTATTTGTCAGAAGAAGTTGTTTCTGTAATCCCTTTCTCTGTTACTATACAGAGTCACAATAATAAGTATATAGATGTCATTATCTGTCTACCTGCCTTTGTTAGATGCATTTATATTTAGTATAATAATTTCAATCATTGCTAATATTTTTATATTTTTCTACGATTTAAAAAGTTTTTGACTATCCCTGATTTGAATCCGAATGAAATAATTTTCGTTTAGATCAGTTTAGTGGCCTATAAATAAAAATCAATACTCTGTATAATAGCAATCATTATTTTATTTTTTACTAATTTTTTAATAACCATACATTCCTTTGTTGTAGTTAGGGAGACATGCGTGAAAGATATCTATATACTTTATTGTATTATTCTGAGATAATACTAGTATGATTTTTTTGATCAAAGCTTTCCGAAAGTTTTTTAAATGTCGTAACATTTTAATTTAATCATTAGAAAAATCATACAGTAGATTAACTTGAAACTCTAAGGAAGGTGCAATATCTCCACGATTATCATTATTAATGCCAATATGTTATTTCAACAGATCACAAAAATTAAATATCTACATATAAGAGTGTGTATAAATGCTCATGGCAAGATAGTGTTATGATCTACTTCTTAATTAAACCCTTTCATTTTAAACCCATTTTAGTATGTAGACTATTTTATGTAAATATAGATAATAAATTTTATAATTTATGTAAATAATTAAGAGCGAAAACAAATGTATATTGTATATTAAAGATTTCCTAAACCCCTTAACACCTGACATGCTGTATCAATCTTCAGCACTATAAATAGTTTATTTAAATTACTAAGATTTATATTTGGGTACTGGATTTATTTTATATTTAACAAAAAACACGTTTAGAAATATTGCACATTTCTTCTGGAGTGGGTCTTTCTTTCACTCACCAAATTATTTTTCTGTGTGTTGTAAAGCACTGTTTACAAACCTTGAACTAACTTGTAGCAATATACCTCCGTGCAACACCAGCAACAATTTCGACAGCAACAGCACCAACAACAGTATGAGCACCACAGTATCCAATACACCGAAGTCCAGAAAAACAGCTCCCAATACACGGCGCAGGTAAGGTTATTGTAGGATATATTCAGCCGTATCTAATAGAATTCTCATAATTTAGTAAAAGATAGTGTTGTTAAATCAGCGGAACAGTAATTGTATAGATCGAATGTTTTAAAAAAGGACCTATTCTGTTGTGTTAAGGAAAAACGCTTTAGATTAGTTTAGATTCTTCCAGGTTATTGCCCTGTTCAGATCAACCCTTTCAGATCTGTTGTGGTCCTCTTCTGATCCTTAGGTTAGATCCAATTGTATTCTCGTCTCCCTTACTTCTACATGCAGTGCTCTGTAGAAGTGGACCCCCTGAGGTATATCACCACCTTTGCCAGAACTCCACTGTAAGGACATCGAGGTGGCGAGTCATCAGCTCGAGGGGGGAGAGCCATGGTCCTCACAATGGGAATTGACCTCAAATCCTAGGAGATAATAGAGAAAGAGATATATCCTCTATTATAGATCAGGGACAACACTGGTATCAGGTCTAAGGAGCAGTGGCGCGTCTAGAGATTGAGTCTGGGAGGGGTAGTGGCAGTATTAAAGTAAAGTACGAGGATTAAGTTAAGTAAATTTGCGCTGAAAGGTATTGTCACTGCGGAAAAAAATATCTTGGACTGGTCTAGATTTTTCTATTTGGTATTATTAATTCCTTTTGTGACAATTTTATTTTATACAACAATTTAACATACTTATAAATTTTGTTCAGGGGGGGTAATTACCTCCATTACCCCTCCCGTATATGCGCCCCTGCTAAGGAGAGACCAAGTTAAAGAGGTGGAGAAAATGGAGACTGATCCTCCAGCCTCTACCTCAAAGGTACCTTAGCCGGAGAAAAGCTCTTGGACGTTGAAAGGCACGGATGGTTAAGCCGGAGAAAAGCTCTTGGACGTTGAAAGGCACGGATGGTTAAACTCCAACCGTGGAGGGGTATATACCCTCGTAGGAGGTGGATGTCCAGTCCTCGGAGGATGAACAGCTCTTGTGAGAGAAGGAAGAGAAGTACGCGGTAACCCCTACAACAAGAAGATCCCCATGTATGATGACTTATAGACTGTATGATGAGTTATACAGTGTTCTACTATGAACTTTTCTCCATCGTTCTAGAGATTTGTTAGTCATTCACTCATTTGCAACCCCGCAGAAGGTTTTTGGGCATAGGGAAAAAGCCTTAACTACAATTGTCATAAAAGTGTGTCATTAAAAAGAATAAGGCTTTTTTTCAACTAAATGAGGAGCATAACACGTTATTCTGCTTTATTTTGTAAATTTAATGAAATATAGTTTCACCTGAAGTGAAAATCTGACGGATATGTTATAATACCCTATTTACAAAAAAAGATCTTAACTTGTTCAACGCATCAGATGAGGCTTTTTCTTAACACAGCAGTATTGTGTGCTAAGTTACAAGATTGAAATGTCGCTCTCAGTCTTCACTAGTGATGGGATAACTCGAGCGAAAATTCGCTTGAGTACTCGATTATTGAAATAACCGACATCGTTTTTAACGAGCGATGCAAGTGACGAGTTACGAGCGTCGAACGCAAGCGATCCTAGAATGAAATAAATTGAAATCCGATTTTAATGTGACATACTCGATAAAAATCCGAGCGAATTTTTTACATGCATTGCAGGTAGCAAATTTATACGACGTTATCCGTTGCGTAACTGAGTGACAAAATTTTACGACCGACATCGACAATGCCTTAAAATAAACTAAATCAAGCAACCGATCAAGCTAATCGCTCGTCGCTTGCTACTTGCCATTCATCATCGAAAGAATATGTGCTCTGCGCACGCAACTTACTGCTTGGCGTTACGAGTACAAGCAACAAGCGCCGGGCGAAAAACCGTATTTTTAAATACGAGCGATATTTCGCTCGATTCAATAATCGAGTACTCGATTATTGAAATTAATCGGTTTTTCCCATCACTAGTCTTCACCCTTTTGATATACAGGGTGCTAATTTGAAGAGTTACAATCGGGAATATCTCGAGGGATTGGATGGCTCCTTTTTTGAATCTTTGTCCATCCTAATAGAAATCAGATATTTGAGATACACTCACATATTTCTGATACAGGCTCACAGCGTTCAAATTTTTAAACTTTTGATGTAAAATAATTTTAAACAAAGCGTTGAAAAGGAATTTTAGAATGTATTTGTTTGTAGAACATCGTTGGCAGCCAATCTTCCGGTGTGGTTTACGCTCGGCTGCAGAAAGAATCGCGGACGGACGAAGTAACATGGACGGATGCAGGGGGTGGGAACAAAGGGGTCATGACCGTCGGACCTCCGCCGTCACTGGCGGAACAACTTAAACAGGTACAAAAACTCAACATAAAAACTAATTGTAATTGTAAATACCTATCGCTATTATTCTTTATTGCCTACTAGGAGAATTATATTCACAAAATAATTCGCAAAAGATTTAGTTGTGTATGTATGTGTAAACATCATTAAGCATAGACAAATTTGTATTGTAGGTTTTGGCTGAAAGGGAAAAACGTCTAGGCAGCGATAGCGTCACCAGTTCCACTGACGAATTAAATGAAAAATCCAAAAATGACCCCGCTCATCATTTACTTGAAGAGATAAGACAAGCAGTCAGTGAAGCTAACGCGAAAGGTAAGTTACCCACCACAAAAAAATGATAAATATGAAATGGAGACCGCACGGGTTTGCATAACAATCAGTATTTGTTAATATACATAGAAAAAACTCCAAACTGCAAAATAATTTACATATTTTTGTTGCTTTTGATATAAAGTTAAATCAGCGTTTGTGAATAGTGGATATAGAACATGTTTGAGCAAACTGTTATGGGTATTTCTGTAGGTGTTAAAAAGCAAAATTTAAATTATATGAAAATATGGGACCTAAAATTGAGCCTTAAATTGAGTATACTAATACAGAACGTTAGTACATAAAATGGCTTTGTGTATTTTTTTGGGCGCACTAAATGGTTAATGCTTAGTTAATATAGTGTTTAAATGAAAAAGTTGACTAAACGGTTAATTTGAATTATATACAGTATGTCACATTGCTCTTAGTCCAATAAACTAGTTTGGTTGCATACATAGTAAAAAACTTAAGAGTAACAACAACATCTTTAATTATGTGGTAGTACCAACCTGGTACAACTTCCTGGCTTTGAAGTTATTCCACGCCTTGTATTGCCATATAGATATGGAGGTATACACTTAAGTTGATTGAAAATACGTCGTAAATGACAATAACAAAATTTGCAATAATTGTTAAAATTTATTCTTTAATTTTCCAATTTACAGTCAAAATATACTGCTAGTTGCACTTTAGTACAATGCTTGCATTTTTTAAGAGACGTATTAAACATTATCGTAACCCTTGTAAAATACAGCATACGTACCGAAAATAATATGAAGTGGTATTATACTATATCTTATTTTATTAACATCTCGGGGAAATAAATAAAAATAGGGACCAAAAATAAGAATATGTATGAATATTATTGCTTTGTTGTTAATAGCAACATCACTACTTTATTATAATGAGTTAAAAAAAACAACAAAAGGCTGTAAGTATCTTGATTTTTACCAGTGATTTGGTAAACAATTATAACACAAACAATAATTATCTAAATATTTTCCAATATACTGAAAAAACGTAATAAAGATATTGTGCGTAATTATTTTCCAGCCTCTCTAAAATTACTTATTTCTTTAAGATTAATAAAATTGCCTGCTCTCTATTATATTGATTAACTCACATTGCCATTTTGTAGTGCGTCCACACGCTTTACGTGACTGTGCCACAGTAATCGTGTTGTTTGTGTGTCGTATGTTGTAGTTAAGAAAGTTGTTCCCGTTACGTTATCGCCCCCAGGTAGCACGCCTTGGTACCACCAAGGCAACACGTCGCCCGAGCCCCCGTCCCCGTCCAGCCTCAGTTCGGGTTCGGTGTCGCCCTCCCGGCACGACACCTCCTGGGCCACCACCGATCTCAGCTTGTCGTCATGCAGTATCGCCAGCGACAAGCGAAGCTTTTTGTACGCCACGCCGGTCAACGATTGGAATAAGGATCACGTAAGTCCATTAACTCAAAGTAGTCATGGGTAACACTATAATTTTTCGTGTGTTGATACCGTAACACTGACACCTTTTCCGGTATCAACACAGAGTATCAGCACGATTGTGTCATATGGCACAGTAGTGAATCAGCGTTATTTCAGTTAAACATACACAGGGTTTCTCGCGCTCACTGTCGAGAGGCCCGACGTCTGACGTGGTACTCCGTGTTGCCAAATGATGAAAAATTGCGTACTTTGAAATACAAGAAAAATTAAACACACTTTTTTCATAATTTAAGGGTAGTTTCATATACAATGTTATCTAATATAGTAGTACAGGTATACTCTTAAGCATCTTGAAGAGCTGAAGTAGTCTTTTAAATTAGAAAGTTAGAGCACACATACTCAATAAAAGGATGATAGCAACATTGGTTTGCAAAGGTAGTTGTTACGCAAAATCGGAGATCGGTAACTCCCGTAGCACTAAGCACACCACGTGTTTGGTTTAGTTTTGTTTAGTTTACAGTATTCGTATGCATAACCGATTAGCTTCTTGAATATTTTCCTATAATTATTTTCCCCCTACTAACATTAGCATTGGTAACAACGCGCCGCGACATCGCCTAAACAAAACCGAAACTGAAAGGCATTAAATCGAATCCATATTGTAAAAAAACCACTCTTATCAACAAAATATATATTTTCCCCACGATAAGAAAAAAAAATCATTATTATTTACTATCAATTTTTTATTACAATAACAATCGAGAATATGCGAAAATTGGTAAACGCGGGTCTACGTCAGATTTAGCTCTCCATCCTCCCATGAACCATGAACCATATATCGTCGTTAATTTTACAAAGTGTCGTATCTCATATTTCAGTTTTCCAGAATGGAGGTTTAAAGGTTTTGTTAACTTTTGGATATCGGTTAAAGTAAATAAATATTTGCTAAATTATTTACTTGCCGGAAAAGTATAGGACGCAGAGATACGACACTTCGTGAGATGAAAGAGTATCATATTAGGTTTGAGTTTGTGACTGTGTCTCAAAACAGGCATTTTTTGAGATAAGTTAGTCTGTGAAATTAACGACGATATTTGAGACGTTGGAATATTTATTTCATAAACAATAACAAATTTATCGTAGATTTCCACTAATACTGAGTCTGCAAAACTGCAAACAATTATCGATGCTTCTATGCATATAACAAGAAATCGAATCACATTGGCCCAGCATGACACAATAAAACTGTTTTATTGTATCATGTATGCTCGCGTAGCCAACCTAACGAAATGGCACTTCGCCCGCGTCTCGATACGATACTCCATGCGGAAAGCTTGCAGCGTTATATTAAAAGTGTCAGTGTCAAAAAAATTCATTGACGCTGTTTCAACACCCATGACACGCTGAAAGGTGTCAGCACAAAAGTGCCATACAACACAGTGTTACACATCGCTAACTCAAAGGTCAAAAATTCAAAACCAAATACATTAAACAGACTATACCGCGGGTACCGCTTAAATTCTTGTCCCAATAAGGAAGGATGGATATAGAATTTCCATGCATTTCCCACATAAGTCTATCTTTGGGTTGTAGGAAGTTTTCTGTGCTTGTTCGAGCTGTGAGCTCTTTGATTGGAAAGTTCCAAATCATATGTTTTATTTTATTTGAAGCTGAGGTTAAAGACGTTCAAATAATTGAATTAAACTTTACAAAAAGATTTATGTTAAATAAAAGTTGTTTGTTAAATAATTTGATAATTGATTTTTTTGTTAAATAACATTATGCGTGTAATCAACTGAGGTATTTTAATCGTATTCAACATGTTCTTACACACATGAAAACAAATGCAGAACTTTTTCGACCAAAAGTTAATTTTTGATGTGCCTATATAATTGCTGCTCATATATTTATATGAATACACACCATCAGTCCTTAAATTAAAAAAAAGTCCTTATTAAATGATAACTAAAAGTACATATTTAAAGTTTATAATAAATCAAGCTAAATACAAAAATAATATGCATTGTTGCATTATAAAGTCGCAAAGATTAAAGCACAAACAAGAACACACAACACGAGGAAAAACACCCTTGGCGCCTTAACTGAATACTAAAAATGCGTATTGCAACCGTATTGCGTATATTTTAAAAACAAATATCGATCTATATCTCTATCGTATTTGTTGAAAACAGAGTTTATGTCTGTCCGACGAGAGGTTACATGACAGTGACAGTTGTCTGTCATTTTGATTAAGAAGCTTATTGTATCTGCCGTATATAAAATGACAGGAATCTTCATTTTATAGCCATCGCTGAGGCCGTTTTTCTCAATCATATTGTAGTTGAATAATATCTTTAAGAAATATTTACCATTTATAATAGGCAGAATGAACGAACTCAATTAAATAAATATACATCTAACGATAAGAACTACATTAAAAAGCTTATGTATGCAGCATACCGATTTGGTTATCGAAACTGTGCGGTCTGGATTTTAACGTTAAGACAGTGATGTAGACAGCTTAATGGAAAATCAAATGTATTAAAAAGAGATAAAAATTGGGTCGACACATTTCTTCTATGCGGTATTGCCGTATTTTGCATCAAAATTTCAAACCGCATCTAGGTTTGGAACTTTATTTTTCACTATTAGTTACTCATTTTACAGCAGCTGTAATATATTATATTTACATTAGATATATTATCTTCATTTCAGTAGTATACGTGAAAGTTTTTAAAATATCTTATATTTTTGTACACACATTTTCCTACAAGCGTAAAAACCGGCAACACTGTATGCCGCTTTTGATTTTGTCTCTCTGTCTGTCAACCGGTCATTTATATTATTTTCTGTCACACGCATTAAAATCCAGACTACATAAATTGGATGACCAGCAGGGTATATAATTGTGTATGCTATAATGAAATAAAAATAACAGTTATAAGTAATATTGAGCAGTGTTGCCTTTGTATTGTTAAACTGTTAACTGTCATATTCTAATAAACATTTATCCCTCCCTAGGTATGCCAGTGGTTATTGCACATCGGCCTAGAACAACACTTACCGAAGTTCGCGGAGCTCCAAGTAAACGGCAACGCCTTGTTGCTGCTTACGTCGGCCGACTTCAAAATTCTCGGCATCACCAGTGATGACAAGAGTCGCCTCAAGCGGAAAATCAAAGAACTAAAGGCGCAGGCGGAGAAGGAGAGGAAACAGATGGAACGCGATAGGAAAGAGAAGGAAAAACAGTTACGGAAAGCGGAAAAAGCCAGTAAAAAGAAGTGAGGTAGCTTAGAGACGGAGAACTAGATTCCTTTCGAGTCAATATTTGTAACAATTTTTTTTATCTCGTTTTCGTATCGAGCTGTGAATAAGTAATCTGTGTAAAATGACCGATCTAGGGATAGAGCAAACATATTCAAGGTGATTTGGCATTGCCGTCCTTGATGTGGTGACGTGGGAAACGTACTCAAACTCCTTTATCAAAAGCCAAATGTGTCATGTGTAATGAAACGGCGTGATCGAGTAAAAACAACGTGATAGTAGGCATGGTAATATTGTAGTTCGAGTTCTTTGTAAAACGTTAAAACTATAATCCAGTGTTTCACCCTATTTTTACTGTTATGAATAATCAATTATTATACAATTTTATGTTATTCGTTACTTTTTTTACTAGATTTAAAATAACACACCATCAGTGTTGCCACTGTCAAGAATTTAGTAATAGCTTTAAATGAAGTTAAGAACAGAAATTAAATGATATATGAATGATATTTCTATGCCTATAATAACTTTATAGTCTGTCTAAAGAGGGGATCCATGACAGTGATAGTGCTGTTTGTCACAATTCATAGGTAAATTGTTTTTTCTATCATTTTTTTGATGTCGTTTGTCAAAATCTTCCCCCACTCGTTAGACAAACTATAGTTTTGTTGGATCATATATAATGACATATTCTGCTAAATAATTTTTCAGAGAATGCTTATTCACGGCAGATTTTGTTTGTGTTGTATCTCCTTTGTTTTGTGAGTGGTTCAAGTTTCACTGCGGTAACGTCGACACTTGTATAATACACGTTTGACTTTTCAAATATCTCTCGTGAGGCCATATTTTTATTTTTACAGTAAGAATCCAATTTTGCGTGTATATAGTTCTAATGTAATAACTCGACTCTCAGATTCAGAGATGAGTGTTAGTGGATTTGACTGTGATGCAAATAGTTTTAGCGGTTGTTTTATTGATATAGTGAGGTTTATTTGTATTCGATCGGTATTTTGACCGAATTCCTTTTGTTCTTATTGTTGGAATTGTTTTGAGAATATGAAACTGACTAATTATGGTTTCTAAACCATTATAACATTTTTATTAAAGAATCTTTTCTTTCTTTCAAAATGCAAACAATGCATTTCCAATAGATTATGCAACATATACACATACAGGCTGCGCCAGAAAAGTTCGCAACAAATGGGATTTTTTTGTTATTGTGGTATTGAAAAAAGTTTATGTAAATTTACTTCAGCATGTCGCATAACAAAAAAATCATGATGACATATGTCATGCAACAACCGTCATGGCAGAAAATTACAATAATCATCTTTATATGTGCAAAAAATGGGTTAGGTGACTAAATATCAAAAAAGAAAAAACAATAATAGAATAAAAAATAAATAGTAGAATAGTTGTTCAGAATTTGTTTTTGATAAGAATTATTCATAATTTATTTACGTCTATGGACCAAGTTCCATAAATATACAGGACCTTTCCAAACATTGTTTGTTAGATATTTGTTGTCAAGACAGTCATGTCAAAATGATTTTTTTTTCGTATTGGATATGCTGAACTACTTCCGCCGTAAACTTTTTTCAATAACTTGCTAATAAAAAATTTCCTTCGGTTGTGATTTTTTTGACACACCTTGTATATACGAATTTTTAACGTGCAATCATCTATTTATTTATTTATTTATTTTTAAAATAGTTCACCTATAGGGTTGTAGTTGTTCAGTTGTATCATAGAATTTTTTTAAATTATTTTTCAATATTAAAGCACAATAGAAGACGAATTTGTATTTTAACTGAAAATGCGATTTTTCTGTAGGAATTAAAATACTATACACTAAACGGAAATTGAGTAAAATTTTGAAAATACATTTTTTTTTCATTTAAATACAGAAATTCTCCAGAAATGTCGTGTTCATTAATAAATAGTTTTATCGAAAAAATGTATACAAAAAGTTTGTTTTTGTAAAAAATGTAATCAAACATTTCGTGTAAACATTAGGTAGCTCTTATATACATAAGAATTTATGTAATTCTTAACAGTTCACAAAATCATATACGAAAATCTAGATGTGTCAAGTGTACAAGGTATTGTAAATATTAATATTTTATTGTTTTGACTAGTTTTTTTAATTTGTACTTATTTGTATTATTTTTTTTTCCTATTTATTTTATGTTCCTTTTTAAGCGATTATGTTTCTGAAATCAACGGGAACAATTTATTTACTTAATTTATTTGAGCTTATTAATATATATTTTTTAATTTTAGTTATAGCGTAAGATTTACTATTACTTGCCATAAATTTTATTTAACAATGTTAAATATCAGAAAAAAAAACAATGGTTAATACTGATTTTTTTAATTTATATATTTTCGAAAATGCCAAAGAAAACTTTTTTAATAAGATATGCGCGTTCTAAAACTTAGTTACAGTTCTATAAATATAGAATAAAGCACTGTCTACACATAAAGTTTTACCTGCCAGTTTTCAGGACTTCTTCTAGGAGATGTGAGACCTTCCACTCTAATTTATTAATTTTATTATTTCAACCCCCCTTCCACTCTACATTTCAGGGGGAGGACACCCTCCACCTCAAATTTCTGACAGAGGTCCCCTTTCTGGGCCCCGGGCGGCTGTTTAAAAAATGAATAATACAGAAAGTTACGCCACTGCTTCCGTTTTAATTCAGTCTAAATAAGACGAACCATTTTTTCGTCTACACTCAAGGTTTTACTTGATACATTTAGACTTAACAGGTGAATCTGATAGGTAAAAAGTTATGTGTAGACCTGGATTAATAGATTTCAGAAACATTTTTATTAATAACAATTATTTTCTCTAATGTGATAATTTATTTGAACTTTTGTTATTTGTGATTTCTGTAAGATATTATGATTTTTTTAATATATCCATTTCCTCTGGCTTTTTTACATTTTTAATGTAATTTGTGTTTTTTAACTATTAAAAAAAATAAGTTGCTTTAATAATAGTACAAACAGAAATCAAATCTACAAAAGGCAGCAAAACACTAAAATTTAGATTCTTTATAATTTATGCAGGAAGGTCGTTTGCTAATAACATTGTGAATATCATGCCATGTTAAATTTTTCTAAAAAAATCTAATATATTTTCAATAATTCCACAATGTATAAGTTATAAATAGTCTAATATGCGGCTCATTTTTTTATTTATTTATGGGACCAACAATAATTTGTCTCTTTGCTTAGTTCCGCATGCCGATTGCTCAACTTCACTTTGTCTATTTTCGATTATTGTGATTTTGCAGAAAACTTTTCTAAACTTGATAGTTTTTAAACGATTTTTGTGATTTGTTTTTAACTTTTATAATTAAAATCTGAATCAAATGTAGAATGAATAAACAATAAACGATTGTATTTGTATGAAAGGTTTTTTTATCATCAATCCAACCAAAAAATGTGCAACAAAAACAAACGGGACATTTCTCAAGTTTATAAGTTATTTATATAAGTTCTTTAGCATACCCAGTAGGCATAAAAATATTTTGACATACATATGCTGCCTTTGACCCATTGCTACATACATATTGCTGCCAAATTACAGAAATCCTCTTCGCATATGCAAAAAGTGAGTTGATTCTACACATATACTAGCTTCTGCGCCCCACTAGTCAACTTCCATACCCAATCGCCCTTTGTTGTCCCTTAATTTCGCAGCTTTGCACGCGCATAAACGATAATCGGTCGGGTATTTCGCGTGCAATCCAACCAAAAAAAAATTACCTCAGAGACAAACGCAATCAAAACACAATAAAAATAATAAAAAACAGCTGTAAAAAAATAAAGTTTTGGATTGGGTTGGGACAAGATCCTGGGACCTCTCGTTCCCGAAGCGACGGCCTACCAATGCATCCACAGCTACTCTTGCAAAATTGGCTATAGTTAGGCGTTACATTCCGCCGTTACTAAAATCGTTCATAAAAAACGGCGATAGCAAACGGCAATATTGTTCGGTATGCGAGTTGACTACAGGGACGTAGAAGCTTCTTACAATATTATATCTACCAAGTTTAATAAAAGTACAGAGTGTTTCGAAAATTTGTACAGGGTGTTAATAATCTATGCTATTTTAGCATGCGTATTTAAGTATATTTAAATATCTCAAAAACCAAAGATTTTAGACATATTTAACCCTATAATAAATGCTTTTTTTGGACTCAAGAATAAAAAAATGAAATAAAACACCCTATATATTTCAAAATAATTTTAAATTGTGCATATTGCCTCCCTACATACACCCATAAAATATTTTGTTTCTACATCTTTCCTTTTCGTATCAACTGAGGCGAATGAGGTGCGCCACCCTGTATTTATAAAATTTGGTACATAGACGTAGAAATAAATTCTGTCCACAACACAACTTTTTTCTTCCCGATTTTTGAGATTTTATGACCTAACCCCAAGCTTCGTATATGTTAAGGATATTTCTAATTTACCGCCATGATAGTTATCGCATGACATGTTAAAATTATTACTTTTGTTAGAGAGCAGCCCAAAGAAATCTACATAAACTTTCTTTCAATAACACAATTAACAACACATTTTTCCATTTGTCGCGAACTTTTTGACACATTCTGTAGTACTTGATAATGCCATTATACAGTACAACAAATGAAAAGGATAAATATTTTATTTTATCTAGAAATATTTATACTTTACTTGCACAACATGTATTCCTATACTAAAGTTAGAAAGAAAAATATAATTTTAATTTTAAAATATATAGCGAACTTTCTTTACAATTCAAGTACCTGCTTACAAAATATACCATCCATAAAATAGATTTCTTCATAGAAAATACTTTGGTCAGAAAAATTCACTAAAATAGAAGTCTTTTATCTCTATATAAGTTTTTACATAGTAAAGAGCAATTTTTCCTGTGGTTACAGGGAATCAGTTGTTAAATTAAAATAAACTGTGTCCAACGAATCAGGGTAGATTTCGACAGGTGACATCCAAAAAAATGACAGAAAATAGCACTGTTATGTATTTTCTCGTTGGACAGATTAGACATATACTGTCAGTGTCAACGCTAGATGCTAGCCAAGTACTCTTTCCAATGTTGTAAATTAGGGGTGAACATACTCTCCTAAATTTGGTTTCATCTGCTCCATACAAAACTACAATTGTTTTCCTGGTATTATAACTGGCCAATATTTTCATGACAAACAAGGTAAGTCAAATCACCACTTATTTTTTATAGAAAAATAATTATATGTGAAATGTCAGGGAAAGGAAGCAGATAAGTTATTTTTTTTATTATATTTAAATATTTGGTGCATTTGGCTCAGGGTGCATCCACACCAAATCCACACCAACCTAAAAAAAGCGGAACGACCTTGAATCGATTTCCAGCAATTCTATTGGCTGAAATTTATCGAAAATTCATCTGTCAAAAATTTCAGCTAATAGAATTGCTGGAAATCGATTCAAGGTCGTTACACCGATACGATGTTCCACTTTTTCTAGGATAGTGCGAATGTACCCTCAGAGTGAGTGTAAGTATCTTTAGAAGCCGCAAAACTGGGAAAAAAGCAACCTAGTTAGAAGATATATAGCGTCAAAGTTATACTAGAGGAAAAACAACAGACAAGTCAAGCAAAAAAAAGGAAAGAACCAGGCATTGTTGAGTTCGTACGTTTGTTCGTTACAATGGTATTTTATCTAATAAAAAATACCTTTACCAAGTTCTAACAAATCTCTCTTACGCTATTTTTGTAACGTTTTGAACATTAAATCGTGCTTTTCTCAGTTTGGAGGAAAATTGACTTGCCTGCTTTTTCCCCTGACCCTTCATGTATTTATTTTAAACTTTTTCTGAATAAAAAAATTATGCCTATTCTACTTTTAACAACTAATTTCCTGATGCACAGATCTACACATTTGGAAGTCCAGTAAAGTATAGAACAATGTCTAGCTTTAGTAATAGTTACGAGTATATAAATAGTTAACAAAATATGTATCCTTACCCTATAGAACATTATTTGCACAAATGTCACTAGATTTTAATAGGATTAAAGCCATATACATTCAGACCTATCCAATCTAAATCGGTGCGGTGGTCTGAATTTTAAGATGCAAAATAATGATAGATAATGAAAATTTATGTTAAACAGAGACAAAGTGTGGGATGATCCATTTCTTCTATGCTGTATTGCCGGATTTTCCAATAAAAAATTAACAATTATCAAGAAAGCGATTCAAACAGTCCTTCAACATAGGTTAATAACAACAATTAATTAGACATTTTGCTATAGTTCTATCTAATACCTCTCGTAATATTTGAAACTCTATTGGCTTACTCGCTTAATTCAGTTTCTATTTCTACCTCGTCAATCTTTAATAATTATGCTTATTGTACGTAGAAACCGGCAACTCTGCTTTCCTTTGTATCTCTGCCTATCAACTGTTTGTACCGGAAATAAACTAATTTATTTTTATCATTAGAATTAAATACATTGCTTTTTAAATGTATTTGATTAAAATACAGACCACCGATTAAGGGCAGATTTATATGCATCCGTCTTGTCGACCGTCATTGATTTTATGGAATTTTTTAGGTTTATTTCAAAAATGACAGGTAATACCTCAACGCGGTTGGTGTAACGAAACGATGCATGATGGATGCATATAAACCTACCTTTAGACTGGTATCTGACACTAAAATTATTCTATTTGCAATATATTTCAGCTATTTCTAAAGCTGAAATACATTGCATGACATGACAATTCTAATGCTAACAATTATTAATACTTTCAATTCAATACATTCAACAACATTTTATGAATGTATATAATAAAGAAAAAAACAAAATAAAATAAATTAAATATTTTTATTATATAACAATATATTGGTAACAAAATATTTGTCTTTCTTTTGGTAGAATAAATTAATTATATAAACATATTTATAATAATTCTAGTTAATTTTAAGATTACAAATAAATACAGGTAAGGAATGAATTTTACTGGTGCATATTTTTTCAAAAAATAGACTTAAAATAGATAATAAAATAACAAAATATAATTTTTAATGTCTTTAATAGTTCTAGAGCAATTTTTCGAAGTGAGTTAATTACTAAATAGAAAATCAAATTTTCTTGATATTGTTTCATTACTAAAATTTGCAACATATGTAAATGTATAACATATTTGAACTTTTGTTGTATATGTAGGATGAAACACAAAAAACATCTAACTTAATATACACATGAGCACATTGAGCCGTTATTTCAGAACAAAATGTAACTTCTTGAAAAGACTGTTTTTTGCTTCTAGAAAAAATGTACAAAATACAAAAGTTATTTTTTGTAACCACCACTGGGGGGGAGTTGATTCAACGGAGACCAATTTGTCAATGGTATTTTATTAAGAAAACCCATTTTGCCAATCAGACAAAAAATGTTTAAAGTTTCAGGAGGATTTCACAAGAGATTTTAACAAAACGTCAACTGTTTATAATAGACGTAGCTACTAAAAAAATAAAGTATTCTTAAATAATATTTAGTATTTAGATATTTTAAATACTTTTTTTCTTTGTGTTTTTTGCTTCTGACGACGGGAGGAGATATACCTCCTGAAACGTTAAGCATTGTTGCCGGTTTAGATAATTTGTTTTATTAGTAAAATACCACTGACGAATTGGTCTCCGTTGGATCAACGCCAGTGGTGTTTATAAAAAATATCTTTTTTATTTTAGTTTGGTTTAGGACTTTCTTCTAGTGGCGATAAACCCAGAAGTCTTTTTAAGAAATGAACCCGTCACAAAGGTATAAACATTATTCACTAATATAGTATTCCGTATAGAATTGTGGTGATTAAAAGTGATTCAAACAAACCAAACCCAGACAAAAAATCTTGACTTTAGAAACCAGAAAAAATTGTCTATTCAACTAAAGAGTGATAGAGCAGATACAGGACATTCTGTTTAAAAAAATGCAACTTACGTATGTCAAAATATGACAGTTATTCAAGTGGTTTTTATTATTTCGAAAATAAAAATATGGTGATTCAGATAAAACCTTAAAATTTTCATAATTACAACTTTTTTTCTCAAAACACTATTTAAGGAGGCCGCTAGTGGCTAAAATATACGTGGCTAAAACACCCTGTACATATGGGCATTTAAAGAAAGAAACGAATTAATAGGAAACATTGTTAGAAAATAGTAGAAGTACTAATTGAAATTTTATATATCAGTTTCAGTATGAGAACTAGTACGACTTCCCTCACGAGATTCCTTAAAGCTCACCTTCTCGTTTTCCCTAAAACTCCGATATTTTAACTTTCCAATTTCTACAGTCTTTAAAAACTCGCTCTCGCCAAACAAGAACCTTTTTACATTCTCTTCCACTTCAGCATATCTACCTTTGTTGATACTGATGCTATGCGCTTTCCTCATTTGGTGATGTGGTTTCAAATCGTCCACCCTAGAATTTTCCGAACTGCTGACGTTATCGTTCTCGATGGTGACCTGCACCCATTCTGATATTCTCTGTTGGTGTTGAGCCGAGTTTTCGCTTGTCAGGCTAAAGCGTTTACTGTCTCGGCTCGACGTGGATTCGGCTTCGATTTTTTCTTGTTTCTTATTATTGACTAGACGTTTATTGCCCGTCTAAAAGATACCAGTTCTTTTAAAAAAAAACCGGTTGAAACCGTCCATAGACTAAACTACAAGTTGTACAATCTTGACTGATTCAACGCTACGAATTATACGATTTATGGTGGAAAATTTACTAATACAGTTTGTTCAACGTTACAGTAACTGTCATTTAACTTTCGCGATTGTGATATAACTCTATTGAAAACAAAACTTAAATCCGTTTGTTACTAAAATGTGTATTACTAAAACTGTTATATGCAAAAGTTATAAACTGAAACAAAATCAAGATGAAAAAAGATGGATCAATTTTCGTTAAGCTGAAATCAGTTATTAGAAAAAAAAAATTGTCTTTAAACAGCTACTGTGAACTATGGAATACACAAATTTTCCTGCGGAAATGCGTAATTTCCAAATTTCGCACTTTAGAATAACTGAAATCTGCTATAAAAAAATACATTTTGCGTTTTATTTTTAATATTTTTCTGATCATATAAACACAAAAATTTTCGTGCGGAAATAAGCTGTTTTCATTTTCTAAGGAAATTTATTAGACTTTAGAATAGCTGAAATCAGTTACATAAAATATAAATATATTTTTGCCTTTTAGAAGCATTCATGAATTGAGTAAAATAAAAATTGTCCTGCGGAAATAAACTGTATCCATTTTCTGAGGAAATTTAATAGACTTTAGAATAGCTGAAATCAGTTAAAATCAATATATAATCAAAAATAAATATTTTTTTGCCTTTTAGAAGCGTTTACAAACTCAGGAATATAAAAAATTTCCTGCGGAAATGCTTGATTTTCATTTTCCATTTGTTCCTTATTATATTATCGGGTCTTGTAAAGTATAAGTACACACAAATTTAGCAATTTTTTTTTGGGCAGAAAGTCCTATGCTTATAGAACAGTTTAACAGAAAAAAATCCTTGGATGAAGCACTTTTGAACCAAAAAAAAATCATTTAAGTGTCTAAAATGCTAACCAATCTAATAATAAATCTAATAATATTTTTACAAAATCACAGTTATTTATTAAAATATAAAAACCACAGCTTAACACCCTCCACAAAGAAAAGCTAACCAAAGCAACCCAAATGCTAATCAATCTAATATTTTTACAAATTCACAGTTAATTATTAAAATATAAAAGAAAACTGCATGATCCGATGATTTTTTGTTTTGAATCGGCCCTATTTACGTAAGGCTTTAATAAAAAACAAGAATAAGTGCAACATTCCGAGGTACTTATAGTTTACAAGAACCTATATTATCTATTCTACAAGAACTGTTATTCCTCCAAAAGATGTTTCACCCCACCCAGCACCCCTATTCGCTCCCAGGTCCCGTAAGCTTCTAAACTGAAAAACGTATGAAAAACAAAGTGCACAAAATGACATTGACACATTTCCGCAGGAATTTTTTTGAATTTCTTTGCTCGTAAAGGCTCGTATAAAACAAATATAAGTTCATTTTTCGTGTAACCGATTTCGGCTATTCTAAAGTCAAGACATTTTATTATGTAAAATAAAATTAAAAATTTCCGCAGACACTTTTTTGTGTTTTTATGTTTAGAAAAATGTCTAAAACACACCCCGAAGACTAGTTTTGATGTAACAGATTTCGGCTATACTAAAGTCCGAAAAATGAAAATGGCGCATTTCCGCAGGAAAGTTTTCGTATATTTGTACTCCTAACGCCTTCTAGAACGCATATATAAAGTCATTTTTTATATAACAGATTTCAGCTAAACGAAGGTTGAGCCAAAAAGATCAAACATTTGAAATTAATGCTCTCCTATTACTAATAATACAGTCTAATTAACTGATGTCAGAACCTTAGTGCAAAAAGGAGAAATTGCTCGAATGTAATAAAAGTATCTGAAAAGAGCTGAATACCGAGTACTACATACACATATGTAAGAGCAGCCAATAAACTAAGCAGAAAAATACCTGTGACAACCGGAATCAGACAAGAATGAAATCATCATAATGGATTAAATAATAAATGAAGTAAAGAGAGGATATCGTCTGGGAGATAAAGAAATAAAGATAATATGTTATGCTGGCGATAATAAAAATGCAGACGAAGAAATGCTTCTATATAAGTTTTAACAAACCGAAAAACTGTTTAATATGTAAATATCCAACAGGTTGGCTGTCAGCAATGCACGTTAAAAAACATACAGCAAAATAAAGCAGTATTGGAATAAGTAAGGAATTGTAACTGCTACTGAGTGGTACTTACTGTTTTTTAAGTTTACTTTCGCGGAACTGTAACCGTATTCGAAATTATTTTGTATTATTTTAAGTTTCTGTCCAGTATTGTTAATTTGTTCGTAAATTCAAGAAATTATGGAATATGTTATGATTGTACGGGTTCGTCAAAGAAATCAGCAGACGAGGACTACGTTCAAAAAAAGTTTTAGTTTTTTTTATAAAACAGATGTCATTTTATTTCTTAAATATACTAAATATCTGTAAAACGACGCTAATTTTGTTTCTAAGCATAGAGCAGTCCCAATGCGGCAGTTTTAATGCGATGTGAAGGTCATCTGAGGGCGGGACATATAGTTAGGTTAGGTCGAGTCCACACGGGTCCGCAACAATATGTAAAGTTCGTAATTCTTCGCCTCATAGTCATAAATTTGAACCTTAAGGTACCTCTACCAAATAAATACAACAACTAAGATCATGTGATAAGGTTTTGACAAAATCCAAATATCAGATTTCCCTAACGGACTACGAAACTTTTAAACGCGGATTGCCTCATGAAAAAAAAATAATTAAATTAAAATTAAAGGTTCGAAAGATATAGATCCGGCAAAACTGGAACTATGATGCAGATCCATGAAGCTTGATGAAGAACTCCGTACCTGACTCTTTTAAAATACCCCCATCTTTAGTACACTTTGGATGACACGAAAAATTATAGGCAATCTATCACAACCATAGACTTAAAATAAAATATAGTCTACACTATTTACATCTCAACGCGGTCAAACAATTTTTTTGTACACATGTTTACTTCTGGGTACCGTCGACCGAGCCTTCCTCATCCAGCCTATGTTGTCACGTCTTTAATATTATCAATATTTTTTTTTCTTGTTATACACATATATTGAGATATTAATACTACATTTCAATAAAGTAGGTTTTAATATTCCATAGATGTATTAAATAGTCCTTATCCTACTAAATTATAAGTCGGATACTGTTTAAAAAGGATAAGTTCTTTACAATATGACCACACCGATTAGAGGCGAAGGAGCCTATTCATTCATTTATTACCTTGTAGTACGCGTCGCATGTGTGCGGTAAAGCTTTGTTGCCGCTATGTCCCCGGCTGTATTAATGCATTTTCTTAGCTTGTAGTCCTTAAGTGTTTATTTTATTGACTTTTTCTGTTCAAGAACTATAAAATATGGTTCGCCAGTGCCAAATTTGCAAGAAATTTGACTTAAATAATCCATTTAAGTCTTGAAACGACTTTCGACCGGTAGGCAACTCTCAATTTACCCATTAGGATTCAGTGGCGTTGTTGCAGAAAAGCGCTTATTTAGATAATATTTTAGTAAAATGTAAAATCTGAATTTTCTCTCTTACATTACCTTATTTACTTACTTACATTGTATCATAATTATAACCCTGTTAATAATTAATAATGTTTTTATTAAAAATATATTCCGGTTTATTCTAAAATTATCTTCAGAATCTAAAATAACATACAAGAATTTTAAAATTATATTACATTATGAAACAATATTTTTTAATATACCGGGTCGTCTCAAAAGTGGCTCACCCCCTATAACTTTTTTATTTTTTCAGATAAAAAAAAAACAGATTTGAATGTTAGTAAGTATATGACATAAATTAGGATTTATTGACATATTCAATTGTTTTTGGTCTCTTCCTGTTTCACCGAAATGATTACATCTTTTGATTTTTAAAAACACCCTTGGTATATTGCTACTTTATTCGATAAAAAATGACACTCTGAATAGAGTAACATATCGTATATGACATTAATTAGGATTGATTGACGCATTCAATTGTTTTTGGTCACTTCCTCTTTCACCGGAAATTACTATAACTTTTAATTTTTAAACGGCACCCTCGGTATATTTCTACTTTATTCGATAGAAAATGACACTCTGAATAGAATGACATATCATATGTCAACTTTTGACATTGTCGCTTAAAAACAAATCGTATTTTAAATTTCAATCCAGGGTGCCATGGTGTTGTTAAAAACACTAAGTTTTAATCAAGGAGCCTTGGAAAAATAGTTTTGATCGTCTAATGGGTTTCGTGTCTTGTTTAGGCCGGTTAAAAGATGTACAAATCGTATTTTTAATCATACATATGTCAATTTTTTCAAACGAAACAAGGGTGACTCATTAGCATATTTCAAAAAGCATTTTTTATGAATATATTGATACCACACACTTGGTATTTCGAGTCAAATTGTCGTTATGAACCGCGTGTTACAATTACAATTAAACCATATGCAAAAATGTCAAAAGTTGACATTTGATATGTCATTCTATTCAGAGTGTCATTTTCTATCGAATAAAGTAGAAATATACCGAGGGTGCCGTTTAAAAATTAAAAGTTATAGTCATTTCCGGTGAAAGAGGAAGTGACCAAAAACAATTGAATGCGTCAATCAATCCTAATTATTGTCATATACTAACATACTAAATCTTGTTTGTTTATTTGAAAATATAAAAAAATTATGGAGATGAGCCACTTTTGGGACGCACCCGGTATAATAAAGACAGTACCGAGTTAAATAAATGTAGTTTTCATTTTATCCACTTCCTATCACCTTCTTTGCTTTAATGGAACAGATTTATGTTTTCTCTTATTTACATAATAAGACATCACCTAACCAGAAAAAAAATTACAACAATTATATATTCTTTTTCTCTCCCTGTCGCCGATTCTATTATATCTGTGGAATAGATCCTGTTTTGATTAATATTAGGGGTTGTAAATGTTTGAATAAAATTAATAATTTATTATTAATTTCAAAAATTACGTAATGTCGATTATAAAAGTTATAGAAGAAATAACGTGTATTTTATTATTTTTATCCTTTTTGGATTCTAAGACGTTTTTTCTAAACTTTTATTTAAAAAAAAAAACCTGTCCTAAATCTTAATAAAATATACAAAAGTTTAAATACGATATATTTTTAATTTAATTATAGCTTCATTAAAATAAAAAAAATTACCCGGCTATGATACGGAGAGTTTAGGTGTACTTGAGAAACGAAAGACAGTGTTGTATTTCACGTCAGAGTCGTCAGGGAACGACCGTTACGACAGAGACAACCTATCTATCACTCGTGTCGCACTCGTTATAACCTAAAACAATAACACAACAATAATAAGACATTGTCTGACCGCATGTTCCAGCTATTTATGAATGAGATGCTCAGTCTATATTTTATTTTAAGTCTATGATCACAACCTAACTTACCACTTTAGATCGTTCCTTCAAGATGATTATTAAGTGACAAATTGTTTCATTTTTACTATGTTCTGTAAGTTTTAGGTAATACCCAGTGAAAGGGGAGTTGAGTTAGGATAGGAAGTTTCATTTTTGATCTTTAGTATAAACTTTAGGTGAAATAAAAATTAGAGGCATGACTGAATGGTTTCTACAATATGATTAAAAGTGACAAAGGTAAATGAACCTTTAGATAAATAATGTTAATGCAACGTTGAACTATGGTTGTACAGAGTATACAACAGAAAATGTTAGTATACACATTTTTTATCACACAAAAACGCATTTGCTAGACTAGATGTAAAAAAGTAAAGTGTTTTATTACTAGTAACTGTTCTTTAAAATCATAAAAGAATGAAGAGAACGGAAGTCTATAATTATACAACTTGAATGAAGGCCATTTAAGATGTACACGTTTTCATGCACAACAAATATAAAGCTTTCACAACGTCCGTGCTTTAATATGGGTGGTATACACTTTTAGGTCAACTCTTTCAACAACGTTTGCTAATAATTTTAAATAACCATGCACACAAGTCTATCGTTAAACAGATGTTTAAACATGCTCTTGTCATATAATAAAGGATATAACTTTATTATAATTTCTTATACCTACATGCAATATAAAAAAAACCTTTCAAAAATTTTACATAAAAGATATATTTTATAAAGGTTATTTCTCATTTTTTTTTAATTATATGCAAATAGAAACAAAATCTAACTGATCTAAAGACAATAGAATTTAAGTGATGTTTTTAAAGTGTTTCTAAATTTCTGACAATCTTAATAAATTAACACCACAAATTATTTTTATTTTGGTTTTCACGCACAGTGTTGTCAGAAAAGTCCACCAAATTTCGTGTATTTTTTTTATTGTTATCTATTTTATAAATAGGAGAAAATTTTTAAAACTTATTTCTGGTAATTTTTAGAGACCGATGTATTTAAATAAACTTTTTATATAAAAATAACACTATCAAAAATGCTGTGATAGATACTCGACAGCAGTATTATAAAGTATGTTTCATAAAATCCATTGCTTTCTATGACTACTTGAAACGAGAATAATTAATCGTGCAAAACGCACGCCATCATCAGCTGACTGCTATTAGATGTTTTCCGTTTACCTATTTATTGCTTTTCAACATCAAGATCTTTAGTTTAGTTATGGTATGTGTGTAATAAGACGTGTTGAAAGATAAAAATGTATCTATGACAGCAACATTGCTTTAAAATGAAGCGTCCTTAATTAAACACCCTTAAAGTGAAAAAAGAAAATAGATGTCGGAAAAACAATAAATACTCCTACTACATATTTTAACAATTTTTATAGTGCAGAACTGCCAGAAACCTTCATATTGTATTCTTTTTGGATAAAAATCCTTAGCCCTTCAATCGACGAAATTTGACTGTAAAATCCTTCATTTTGAAGGAAATCTTTCAATTCTGGCAACACTGCTTCACTTAAAGTAAAGCTACTTTTACCCAAGCAACAAAAACTATTTACCCAAGCTATACAGTTTAAATAACAACTAACTGACAATCTCATTTTGTACTATACGTTGCATATCATAGTTACATGCCCATTATTCAATACAAAATATCAACTTTAACAAATACGTCGGTCATACCTGCGCCAACGAACGTTTACTCTTATCAATTTGATTAATATGACCTCTATTTATCAGTACTGGTGCTATATCGCTATGAGCGTTATCCAACAATATATTTTTTGAGTTAGTACTGGTATTTATTAAAGGAAATTTTGAGTCTGTCTCGATAACTTTGGCACTATTACCTTCAAGCATTCTCTCATTCTCTATAGTGATTTCAGTCTGTCTGGGAAATCTATGGAGTTCTGGCAACGTACTACTAAGATTTCCAGATGTTTCTTGAAAATCAATCAATTTTTTTGGCCGTTCAATATCTTTGTCTACAGGTGATGTTAAAGTGTTTGTAGCTGAATTGCTTTTAACTGAATCCTTGTATAAATTGACTTTTAGAACGTTACTTCCGGATTCAGCTGAAGAAGACTTGTCTTTTTCCACTAAAAAATTGTTTGGTTGAACTTTTACTATGTTTTGTAAGTTTTGGGTAATATCCAGTGAAAGTGGAGTTAAAGTAGGATACGAAGTTGTTCTTTTCGATTTTTCATCTACTGGTTTAATAATTTGCATTCCTAAAATATTTTTTATAAATATGATTAAGTAGAGAATGACATACTATATTATAGATATAACTCACCATTTAAAACAGACAGAGATAATTCATTACATTTCAAACAAACATTATCTTTGTATTCGCCAGTTTGAGTTCCAACAGTGTGATGTGAAATATCATAGATAATTTTTAAATTTTTCGCACAAGTACAAGAATCACAATGTTTTGCTAAAGCTCTTTCTTTCTGACGTTCTTCCAATACTAAAATAGAAATAATATTATATACAGATATACTATAAAGACTCATGGACTAAATCATGATGAATGACATAAATTAACCGGTATACCGGGTGCGTCTCAAAAGTGGCTCGCCCCCTATAACTTTTTTATTTTTTCAGATAAAAAATCGAGATTTGATATGTTAGTATATGACATAAATTAGGATTGATTGGCGTATTTAATTGATTTCGGCCACTTCCTGTTTCACCGGAAATGACTACAACTTTTGATTTTTAAATGACACCCTCGGCATTTTTCTACTTTATTCGATAGAAAATGACATTCTGAATAGAATGACATATAATATGTCAACTTTTGACATTTTTGCTTAAAACAAAATTGTATTTTAAATTTCAATCTAGAGTGCCATGGCTGTGTAACAATAATTTTTAATGAAGGAGCCTTGGAAAAATATATTTGATCGTCTAGTGTTTTTAGTGTCTTCTCCTGGCCCGTTAAAAGATGCTCAAATCGTATTTTTAATCATATCTCAATTTTTTCAAATGGAACGAGGGTGGCTCATAAGCATATTTGAAAAAAGCGGTTTTTTACGAATAATTTGGTACCACACACTTGGTATTTCGAGTCAAATTGTCGTTATGAATCGCATGTTGCAATTTCAAATAAACCATATTCAAAAATGTCAACTTTTGACATTGCAACATATGTCATATGATATGTCATTCTATTCAGAGTGTCATTTTCTATCGAATAAAGTAACACAATACTGAGGGTGCCATTTAAAAATCAAAAGTTGTAGTCATTTCCGGTGAAACAGGAAGTGACCGAAATCTATTGAATAATCAATCAATCCTAATTTATGTCATATACTAACATACCAAATCTCGATTTTTTATTTGAAAAAATAAAAAAGTTATAGGGGTGAGCAACTTCGGAGTAGACATCTACCCTCGGAGGAGGTAGATGTCCACTCCTCGGAGGAAGACATCTATTGTTAAAGGAGGATGGAAAATACCCTGTCCCCCAACAGGAAAATCCCCATGTATGATGAGTTATAACTCAAGAAAGGGGGACACAATAGATCTTTAAGATCGGGGTGATTAAGGAGGGTAAACCCAACCCACCCATTCTCCTTTCTACAAGTACGATTTTAATTCCAAAGCCGGGATGTTTTAAACTAAACTGGTAAGAAGTGAAGACAGAGGTGACATGTTTTCCAAAGCTTTATATAAAGACATGATAATAAATTTTGCGACCTAAGAAAACTCTAAGAAATTTCCTCGAACTTACAATGTTTTAGACATTTTATAACATTTTTATACATTACAGCTTAAAAGGTAGACAGAAAAATCTTTTTACAAAATATTTTAACTGAAACGATAATCTGTACTGTACAGGGTGGGTCAAATTCGACGCTTTTAAATGCAAACACCCTTTTCTATAGGAGATAGACAAAAACTAATATCGGTGTCTGGAGCTCAATTTTTGTCAAAAACATGATGGTGAAAACCGCATATCGATATCTGTTACCGTTTCGGAGTTACGGGGTGTTTTTCAAAATATGCATTTTAAACAAATCGTTGTAATTTTTTTGCTATGGAAAACTTTGTATTTTTATGAAAGCATTTCCAAAGCACCTTTTTTACGTAGAATTTAATGGTTTAAGTATAATTTTTTTAAAATTAATAATTTAAGAATTATCAACAAAAAATTGATTTTTTTATATGAGACACCCTGTATATCTTTAATTTATTGAAAAGAATTTAAAATTACTTTTCCAAAAATATAACACACTTGATATTTTGCTCGATTCCTCTTCGAGATATAGAGTATACAAAAATTCGCCTGCTTTAAATAAGTAGGCTTTAAAAAAGGTAGAAAAAAGACTCAAAGTCTCGGTCTCAACGTTTATACAATGTTAAACTGTTACACGTGTTTCGCTCATATACGAGCATCATCAGACCTAACAAGAAAGAACCTAAATAAATAACAAATAATAAAAAGGTCGTCATAACTTACAAATACAATTAAAATTAATCCAAATACACGTTCACATTTTACAATTAAAACAACACTGGGACGAGGCTGAAATGACCGGCAAATATTTGTCAATAAAAACAAACAGGAACAAAAAAATCAAACAAAATCAAAAATAAAATAAAAATAGAATAACCCAGGGATTTGAACTTAGCCTCCCGGTGGGAACCAGAGAGCAAAGCCACCAAGCTACCATACTTCTGAAGTAAAGATTCAGAACTCAACAATAATACACGGCTGAATTAATCTTTCAGATTATTGAAAATTAATGTTGGTTCGAAATTAAAAATGTCATTCACGCACACAAGAACCGGACTTTTTTAGCTCTAGTTATTTCCATTTTCTCCAATAAATCAAGTTTTTTTTTTTTATTCGTGCAGAACACTAACGTTTTCTTTGAGATGGAAAAAATCGTGACCAGTGGCTAATAAGTGGTTCGCAAAAGCCGATTTAGTCTCAGTTATATCCGAATTTCTGTATTTATTGACAAGGCTCAGATGTTCCTGTACTCGGGTGGAAATCTTTCTACCTGATTGCCCCACATAGACCGCTTGACAGTCGCACAATTCAAAGAATAAACTCCCGATTTAGAGAGCCTCTCCGTTTTGTCTTTTATTTCTAACCAAATTTGCTTTTAATGTATTAATAGTTTTAAAGGAAATAGATAAATTAAGATTTTTAAAATATTTTGCCAATTGGAGTGAAATATTACCAAAAAAAAAAAAAAATGTTAAAACTTTATATACGGCCTCTCTGTAAATTTTTTCTGAATGTATGACATTATGAGACATCTTGTACTTATTTACAAACTTATAGTAAATCTTGTTAATAGTTCCTAGCGGAAACCCGTTGTTAAAAAAACAATTTGTCTTATAATGTTGAGCTCTTTTTATTAAACGCTTCTCTGGATAGTGGGTTACATAATCTATAGAACAAAGAATTAAACGCTGCGAATCTATGGGAATATGGGAGTTAGAAATATGCTGAATAACGATATCTGTGGAGGAGGGTTTTCTAAAAATTTCAAACTCTATTTTATTATTATTTCTCATAAGTAAAATCCAAGAACGGTAATTTGCCTTCATTTTCTTTTTTCCAAAGTGAAAGAAATTCTATTATGTAAGTTATTGACATAAGAAAGGAAATCCACCAGCTGCCGTTCACTGCCACTCCCACACGATGCAAACATCATCTACATATCTTCTATAAGCTATTAAATACTGTGAAAAAACTACTTCCATTATCTGTATTTCCAAGCTGTTCATGAAAACCTCACTCAAAAATGGGGACAAACAGGAGCCCATTGCTAAACCGGTTTTTGGCTGAAAAACTCGTTATTAAATTTTAAAAAAGTTTTGACCTAAAACAATTGAAAGGAGTGAAATGAGGTTATCACAAACCAACCTTGGAAGGGAAGTGCTGAACAACAAATCTCTAATGAGGTCAATGCATTCCTCTGGCGGTATACTAGGAAATAAATTCTTAACATCCAGTGACACCAACATTGCTCCGTGTGGGATCTCAATATTTTTTAGGTAGTTGGCGAAATGTACCGAATTATTAGTGGAATAAGTACTATGAAAACCTGTTACGTCTCTGAGAACTTTGTTAAGCCAAGATGATATTCTGTAACATGGCGAATCCACAAAAGACACCACTGGCCTAATCGGATTTCCCTCCTTATTAATTTTGGGCAAACCATAAAGTAAGGGTGTTCTTGGATTCATGGGGTATAGTCTTTCTTTACTAGTATTAAAATATTCTAAAGTTGTTAACGTCTGATCGAGAACCCTCTTTACTCTAGTGAAAAACGCATTAGTAGGATCTTTGTTTAATTTATCGAAATCGTCCGAGCCCAGGAAGCTCATCACCTTATCAACATAATCTGCTCTTTTCATAATCACCAAACAAGAGCCTTTATCTGCCTTTGTGATGATCAAATCGTTGGCCTTAACTTTTTTTTTCAATGTAGGCTTTGAATGGCACCAAAAAAATTCTAGCTGTGAGCATCAATTAAAACGAAAATAATATTTTCTATGAGAGATGCAGAATTTTATAACAATTTAAAATATATTTAACCAACATCAACACATTTACACTATATCTGATTAAAAATAAATAACAAACCAAGACATGAGATTTTGCTGCTGGTGCTCGACCGTCTTCTGTTATATCGACTATCTTCTGTTATGGACAGACGGGGTTGTTTCTGAACATTTCTCGCGGAATTCATTAACTCAGTGCGGGTGAAAGATACCCTCTCATAACTGCTAAGTATTTCTAATTCTTGTCTAGATTATACGGAAGAATAAAAACCTTTATTCTACCAAACCAAACCTTTATTCTACCGCAAATATATCCATAGGATTAGATCCATGGGCACTAAGTCAGGTGGCCTCGACGGCCAACGGCTGGGATCTTGGTTAGCTATTCAATTATTCTTGAAATTGGCTGCAAAAATTTGCTGATAACTTCAGCGTTCTGAGGCGGTGCCTCTTCTTGCTGGAAAAATATGCTTTCGAGTTCCATTAAGGGCATATCATCAATAAGGGGTCCAAAGCCTACTAGTTAAAAGTGGCGAACTGTGGGGGAGTAAGGTCTGTCTTATCCACCATGTAGGAGAGTTTCTTACTTTTCTGGGTTTATTCAGTAATGATAGTCCGAACTTTTCAACAACTATATTTATTACCGTATAAATAGGATAATAAAACGCTTATAAACAAGTTCTAAATACTAACAAATAGGTACTATAAAATAATACGTAAGAAATGAATATGAAAGAGTATTTTTCCAAAAAATCTTTGAGAGTGGTAAGTAATTAAGAGCGCGTCTCGACTGTGTCACAAGCGAGTTCAAAACAAGAAGTGTTAGAAAAAATAGAGGCAAAAGTGGACGCGACCCTTCGCGTCCCTTTGCATCTTACGTCACAGTCCAGTGTTTTAAACATATGGCCCGAAATACGGATTAGCGCATTCTTTTGTCCC